TNGTTTCCAGTCTATTGNAGAGAGGAATGAATGCTGGTGAGGGAATTCAGACATTTTGGAGCAGAGGTGAATCTAAAAGTTGCAGGATGGTAGCTCTGGAGGACTGGAGTTGGTGACCCCTGGTCTAGCTAAACAATTAGCCCGTTTAGCTTAGCGTGGCTTATTTGTAAACAAAGCGGATGCGCGCGCAACTCGACTGCAGTAAGGTTCGAACCGGTGTTCTCACTGGTTGCCTTGGTTACCCGCAATAATCTAGCCGTTTTAGCATTAGCTAGCATGATGTCAGGGTACTACAACAGTTTATTACAGCTCCATGAAATAAGTTATGCTACTAATTTGACATTAGTGAATCAAACTCTACTTTTAGCGCCTTTACGATAACTGGAGTCAACTTATCAACTTAAAAGGGAAAATAATTTATTATAGACTACAAATTGCAAACGGCTTTTTCTTATTAAGCATCATGTGTGCAACGGGACTAAAGGTGGAAATTAGCCACTTTGTTATCTCATGTATTTTCATGTAAATGTTAATTAACATGGAATGTCCCTTTTAAAAAAACAACTTGAAACAATAAATAAAAAATTGTTAATGCTGGTTGTAAAACAACAAAAAAGAACCACATTTTTGTAGCTGTTTAGCTAAACAAATAGCCTGGCTTATCTTTATTTTTTGTGCCGTTATGTTAACTCTAGTCAATTTAAAGGGAAATTATTTAACTATTGTAGACTACAAATTGCAAACAACTGTTTAATTACACCCTTTTCCCCTTTATGAATAGTTTTTTTTAAGTGCAGTAGTCTGAAGCTGTTTTTTGATTATTATTAAAACAATAAGACAAGATTAGACATGGAAATTAGCCTCTTTTCTATCATCTCATGTTTTTGCATGTAAATATTAAAATGCAATGTCCCATTTAAAAAAATAAACAAAAATATTAATGGTAATGCCTCAAAAGCAGCCTTTTTGTCATCTACTGATATGGAGTGTGGAAAAAACTAATCTATGTATGATGGAAGTTACCAATCAGATTTCAAGGGTGGACTATGCATAAATATTAATTTGCTGTGTGGTCAGTTTACCCACCTGGCAGCAAGGTGAAGCAGCCAGTATATCGTAGGTATACATGGTGCCCAGCTGGTGCCAGCTCCCGTCCCAGCGTGATTTGCACTTAATACAGACGATCTTGTGGACGCCCTCCAAGCAGTCCACACAGATGGCGTAGAGGTGCATTAATCGACCTGTTGATTAACACCAAAAATTATTAGAAAAATTAATCTGTAAAGTAATTACAAGTTATTATAGGAGAAGATGTTTAAAATCGCTTTTCCACCATGTTTTTTGTCATATTTGAAACATTTCTTGATGATTATTAAAGCTGTAGACCTAAGAAAACAGGAGAGATGATAATCAGAATCGATTCTCACTTTTTATATTTCCGTAAAAAAAAGCTCTAATTTCCTAAAATATCCCAACTGCAGTGTTGGGTGGTAACTAGTTACATTTACTCAATTATATTTACATGAGTAACCTTTTTTTGAGAGAAAAAAAAGCACTTTTAGAAGTAATTTTATTACGCTTCACTTGAGTAATTTTATTATGAAATATTTTTACTCTTACGTGAGTAAAATTTCTGGATTTTCTACCCACTGAATGAAAAACAAACATGTTTTAACCAAGAATTCAACACATACATACGGAGCCCTCCAGGGGACATGGGAATTTGTTTTTCTTTTGCGTTCCCCTCACAATAATCTACTGATCAGTTCATGCGGCATAAGTGAATACTGTAAGCCTTTCTTATGGTGGCTGCCGTACTTTCGGCATTGAAAGCAGCCATTTAAACCATTCAGATTTCGAACACAACAGAGACACAATCAGATGATAACTCAGAAATAGTCCATGGAAAAACCTTCCATAAGCTTGTATTAAAGCAGAAATTATGGCGACCACCATAAGAAAGGCTTACAGTATTCACTTATGCCGCATGAACTGATCAGTAGATTATTGCGAGGGAGCACAAAAGAAAGAAAACTCCTCATGTCCCTCTGAGGGCTCCGTAAAGTGCAAAAATTTCCACTTAACTTTATAATTTAGTCTGTCTCATGATGTAATTTTTAAATATTAAATAATTGATAATTTGATCAGAGTAGACTTTTTACCAAATACTTTTACTTGAGTAATTTCTTGGTCTGCTACTTTTTACTTTTACTTCAGTAAAAATATAAAGTAATGCTACTGTTACTTAAGTACAATTTTTGGGTTTTCTACCCACCTCTGTCCAACAAAATGTTTAAAAGAAATAAATCTACAAAGCGGTGAGTAAATCCTGGTGATGCATTTCTCGGTTTTATTCACCTTTCCCTTTAAAAAAAAGACAATTCAAACATTTCTTGCTTGAAATGTGAAAAAATAGTGACATTATTCATACAACCACAGAGTGTTTTAGTTAAATTAGACCATGTTAAATCTGTATGAAGCATTTTTCACATCTCCTTTGGTTCTGCAGACAGAAGGGTGTCAAACCCTCTAATACACAACCCTTCCATGCTTCTGCATATCAAAGACAAGAATATCAAAGCCTGTGGGTCAGCACATCAAAGACGCTCCATGCTGCAGCTGCACTGATTCACATTCATGTTGGGACTGTGCAGAAGTCGGCAGAAAATCTTACATCTCCACGCACGGCGCTGACTGATGGCTCAGTGTTTCCTTTTTTAGACAGTTTGAGTAATTTTATGATGCATGTTCTTATTCTGAGACTGTCCTGCAAGTGAAAGTTTATCTAAATACATGTTTGTTTGTTTTTTGCAGCTCTCCATTAATCTTTGCTTTTCCATGAAAACTGTTGCCACCAGGGCAGCGTTTGCTTTTTAGGACAAGCAGGACAACAAAGAAGCAACTTCTATCTAAATAGAGAAACATGAAGCGCAGAGTGAGATTTTTCTGATAAATACAGCTTCATGTTTCTCCAAGGAACACCGGTATTAATTGACATGATTAATTGTAGATTGATAATTTATTAGATTAATATGCATTGAGAAAAATTGCGGTTCCAATAGATTAACCAGAATCGTCAGCTTAGACCAGCCTTTCTCAAACTGTGGTCCGCGGCCGCCCCCTACTGGCCCGCCAGGTACTGCATGTAAACGACCGTTTATTAGCCGTGACGTCAGCTCGAAGTGCGACGCTACAGCTAGCTTACCGGAGGATTGTGGTTAAGATTAACTAAGGAAAGTGGCTTAAAACCGGGTCACTCCAAAGAAAAACTGAAGATACCGATGGAAAGAAGACAACTCCAGGAGTACTTATAAGATCGGACGAAGCTAAGTTATAGCTGCTGCGAGTTTTTGATATCGTTCACGAACGATTCAATTTGAACGGCTCTGTGCCATGAACAGTACAACTGTCACAGTTGATGAGAACTGTTTTTTTTTTTTCCATGATGCTCTGCTCGCACCTCAACAGGTAAGTCTAATTTAAATTATTAAATTAATTAAATACAACAGATAAATACATGGGTTTATATTAATTGTATTTAATGGTGCAGATGAGGATTTGTGTTTCTGCCAAAGCAACTCAAATCTATTTTTCTTTAATTATGCTTCTGAATTACAAATAGGTCTAAATGTTATTAATGCACACAACACTTGGTGGTAAAGAAGAACTTCTTTTTTTGATTTCAAATGTGTTGAACAACATTGGAAAGCTTAGAAAACACACTTTTCACAATATGAAAATAACTCAAAATGCCCAGAGTATACCTGTTCATGACAATAAGTGAGTTAAGAGACTAATATTTTAATTTCAGATTGTGTGTGTGTGTGTATATATATGTATTAGGGCTGTAGGATAATATCGATATCGCGATATATATCGATATTTTCTTTCCTAGAAAAAAATCGATATTCATCTGCAAGTATCGTAACATCCAGCTGTCACCTTGCTCACTCACTGCTTGCTTCGCTGGGAGAGTGATTAGGTCATCAGGCTTAGAGTGATTCCTTCAGATGTTAAGTGTCGAGGTTAAAAAGGTATCAAACTATTCAGAGCAGGGTGCTTGTAATCCATGTAAGCTACAGTTTGTACTGTTTCAATTAAAAGAAACATGTTTTCTCTCCACTTTGATTCTTTTTGTCCAGCTGTCGACTTTAAGTCTGTGTCCATGTCCAACCAGAGCCAGGTATCGTGTAGTTGGTGCTTTTAAACAGTTTTCAGTTAAATTAATTCAATCCAACTCTATATCACCAAAATCACTCTGTCCCTCTAAAATCTTTCAGAAAATCGCAAAAGTGTATTGAATTGTATCGTCTGATGAATATCGCAATATATATCGTATCGTGGACAGAATATTGTGTAGCGTATCGTAAGATTACTGTATCACTACAGCCCTAATATATATATATGGTTTGTGAGTGTTTGTTAAATGGTTTGAAAGTTTGAGAAACACTGGCTCAGTCCTTATTTTGGTGTTAGTTTGGCCGCCATCCAGCAGAGGGCGCCGCAGATAGAGCCAGTAGATACAGGATTAAAGATGGCGGATTACCCAGAACAGGAATCAGAAATGGTCCAAAAAGTGTCCGACGTGAGACACAAGTTGTACTTTATGCAGTAATGTTTTGAAATATAAACACTCAACAAACTCCTTTCTTAAGTTATAACCTTAACTTCTTATTAAAAATTTAATGATTTGCTACAAAGGCAAAGATGTGATGACAGAAAAAAACATGATACCAATAAGGAAGGTGATAAGGCAAAGATGGTATTGCTGTATGAACAAATCTGTTTTATTCTTTTCATCTTTTATTTTTCTAGTTAGCAATAAAGAAGTTTCTCTTTTTTATATTTTATAAATATAAATAAGTTTAATAATGGGAGAAAACCACAATTTTCTGTTTATCCAGTCATGTAGCTGACACAAATGGTAAAATGTAAGTTTTTTATTTGAAATTCAGCCTGTTATGAAAAATGTAACCCTTGATAAAATAGAAAACTCAAGTTTTTAAGAAATGACTGCTTATTAATAAATTGTTAGTTGATAGATAAGATTGATCAGCTTTAGATTAACTCATTAATGACAACTTGCAAACCTAACCAGCAAGAATAAAACGTTTTACTGGAGTTTCACCAAGTAAAAGTGACCAGGAAGTGGCAAAAATCAGGCTTTGTAACTGTACAGATCTGATACTCGTAAACCCGACCTTGAAGGTGGCAGGGGACATCGTACTCGATCTCGTCGTGGCGTGACGGACTGAGGAACAGCGTCCCGTCCACCAGGGGGAACTGCTCGAACACGGGCAGCGAGCGGTGGCACAGAGCGCAGTTGACCACGTTCCTCTGGCTCGCACTGAGAGCAGACAGGATAAACCTGCAGGACGGAAACGCCAAAGGGCAAAAAGAAAAACATAAATCAACCTGGTGGTGGGAACCTCAAAGTTATTCTGGTATGAACTCATTCAATAAATTCATGTTGCTGCTGCAGCTTGGATACATACACACTGCGCACAAAAACCATGTGGACATTTTTTCCCTGGCCCAAAAGCTGGTATTGATAAAAGGAGGAATGTGTAGAGAGGAAACAGGAAAGAAGCTGAAAAAATGTATACCGGAAAACAAAGAAAACGGGGTTTTGTTTTTGTTTAACACCTTGAGTTCCTTTGCTTTGAACCTGGCTGACTCTACGTCTCCCTGTCGTCTCCCAACCTTTTTTTGCTATTATAAGGGAGCAGCCTGTTAGAGGTAATTTCATAATAAGTGTCTAAAAAACTGTCAACAACTAATCAAACATACACAGAAGTACGAGCCCAGGAGTACTTTCTATGTTGAAGAATAGAGTGAATTGCAGCACCAATTTAATTGTGCTGCAGTGTTTCTACACACCAAAGAGTCAGCAGGTACTCAGGTTCTTTAAAGGTGACCTATTGTGTATCCTTGAACATGTTAGGATAGATCTATGGACGATACAAAACATTTTCATTACATTTTATGCACAAAATCATTAGTAGACAATAAGATTTTAGTCTGGTTCTGCCCATTTTGAGTTTCTTTCAGAATGAGACGTTTTAGGGTCTCTGTCACTTTAAATTCAAATAAGTGCTTCTGGCCACGCCCTCTAACCCAACGTTTACACTCGCATGTGAAAATGGCTGCAAACAGATACGCAATTATACAAATGTACATTTTTGAAAAGCATCAGTAGAGCCTCCTGCACAACCAAAAAGAATGCACCAAATGGTTTATGGATGGTAAATCAACAACAGAACATGTGTTGCCTTTTCCAGCAGCCATTGTACAGCACACACAGTGTAAGGTTGGGTATTTATTGTATCATTTATCTTGATTAATTTCTTTTAATAATTTTGCTTTATTATTGTCCCAACAAATTCAAATTAATCTCAGAAGGTTCCTAGAAAATAAACTTGGAAATATCTTAGTTTGAAAAGTTGAAAATTTGCTAGAAAAAGTTGAGAAACTTTGAGATTAATCTCTGAAATTTTCAAGAATTTTTTATTTATTTATTTCTTCGACTTTTGAAACTCAGAAATTTCCATGTTTTTTTTTCTCCACAATTTATGAGGTTAATATTACAATTTCTGAGGGCTTCTTGCTAATGTTTGAGTTTTAAAGCTCAGAAATTTCCTTGTTTTTGTAGAAAATTTCTGAGATTTTTGGCAGAAATATGCTTCTTTATTTCCTACTTAGAAAGGCATACTACACTATCTTCAATGCGTAGTGCAGCTATGAAAAGAAGTTCATTTATTTATTTTTTCCTACCTACATTGTTAGTAGTATGCCGTCGTGTAAGGATGAGTTTAGAGTCGTTTTCTAAATGCGTTTCTTTAAGCCCTTTAACCTTTACCTGCGCAGCTCCTCCCCCTGGCCGGCCTGGGCGTCGTCTTCCATACGGACGTGGTACGTGTTGAGTTTGTGGCGCGGGACGTGGGTGAGGAGCTCCGAGAGGTCCAGCCTCCTCAGGAACTGCACCGGGTGAGGGTGGGCCCCGTCCCCTCCGCCGGTCAGCCGCGGGTGGAGCGGGAGGGCGAAGGACAGCTGCAGCGGGAAGACGGACCCGGGGTCCAGGTGAGGACCCCCAGCCGAACCGGCGGGGCGACTCAGAGCGCCGCTGGCCAGCAGGTGTTTCCTCTGGGGGTCCATGTGGACGGCCGATTTGAAGAACTCGCCCAGCTGGCGGGAACCTCGCAGCCCGGCTCCTCCGGACCCGAGAACAGGCGTTGGGGAGAAGTTAAACCCGCTGGGAGGGGACAGTCCTGGGGAGTCGCACGGGGATTTCTGAGGGGGACCCAGCGGAGACAGTCCTCCCGCCGCATGTCCCCCTCTTTCTATGGAGTTCTGGCGGTCTACTGATTGTCTACGAGGTAACTCCTGACTGGAGGCCCTTTGGGATAACTTCCCCCCTGCTGCCCCTGCTGCTGGCTTGCTCTTCTTAGGCTCTTCAAACGGACCGTCCCCGGGCCCCATGGCGCCCCCGCTGGCCCCAGTCCTGCCGGCGCTGCGCTCCGACGGCTTCTTCTTGCGCTCGTCCTGCATGCGTTTCACCTGGTACCAGTCGGTGTCCTTCTTCAGGTGGCCCTGTCCGCAGCGGCAGGAGCAGAACCTGAAGGCCAGGTCGTAGCCCTTCTTGGTCCACATGTTCTGGCGGCACTGCTTCTCGTTCCAGGAGCGGGCGCGGCCGATGCAGTTGAACTGGACCAGGATGGAGCTCTCCCACTCGTAGAAGCACTGCAGGTGCATCCAGTTGCCGTACGGGCAGAGCTCGTTGTTGCAGAGCACCCGCTGGTGGTCGTCCTTCTCCAGGTCGATGGAGCGGCCCAGGCTGCAGCCCAGAGGGGAGGCGCACTGGACCTCTGAGGGGACAGACAGGAGAGCAGCCAGCTGGTAAAACATCTACAGTTCACATCCTGAGCCTGCATGACTCAAGAGCTGACATTTTCAGGAAAAAGGTTTGATTAGGGCTGAAACGATTAATCGAGATAAATTGACTATTCTTCTGATGAACATCGTTGTTATTGTTCCGATGGCGGATCACATGAAGCTCATACTGTGTGTCATTTTATCCTGCGTCTTTGAAGCAGATTTTTCATCACAAGCTGAATTAAAATAAAAACAAAAAATGGTGAAAATGTCACTAATAGCATCTATTTCTAGAATTGAATTAGGCCACTCAGGCCTGTCAGCAGCTTTTTTAAAACAAGGCCAACAAACATTGGCAGACGGCTTCAACGAGATGTCAACATGAGAGGGGTGTGTGTGTGTGTGTGTGTGTGTGTGTGTGTGTGTGTGTGTGTGTGTGTGTTGCGTTTCCTTCTTCCTTTTCCGGTGCGCTGTCAGCTCCGTCTTTGTTACACACCAGTGTTGTGTCGTCATTGTCGTTCTTTTTTCTTAATGAACAAAACTTTAATGTGATCTCATTCAAAACTCAGACATCGTTTTGGGAGTTTCAGATGAATAATAAATGTCTTATAGTTATATTTATCTATGTATTAATCATTTATGGGGTTTAGTATCTTGCCCAAATGCCTTCATGCATAACTGTGGAAAGGTTTTAAATCAGATAAATTTATGGTTTTGGTGGATTTGTCAATGTTTTTCTGTTCGTTGCAAACGCATTTAGATTAGATAAATAAAATAATGTTTTAAAACAAATAAAAATAATCAAGCAAACTTGAATACAGGAGCAACTAACTCTTTTTCGTGAAGTATCTTAGTCAGGGGTGTCCAAACTTTTTGTCATATTTTAAAAGAAAACTTTAAAAGTTAAAAAAGCAAATTAAGTAGTCTGATTTCTTTTTTTTTCTTCCTCTTTGTTGCTAAGGGATATTGTTTATCGTAGATCCAAATTTTGAAAGGATTTTGCACGTTTGCAGAATTAAATTAAAAGAAAGGCTTTTAGTTTACGAATCGTTTCATGCTGAGTTGAACAAATTTACTCTCAATTATATGAACAGGATCTGAGTCACTTTCTTTCCAAACACTCACTGCATTTAGCCGAATTAAATAAGTTAAATAAAAGCCGATTGTGGTGAAGCAAAGTTGGCTTTTCAGTAAAAGTCTCCAGATAGAAAGTTCGTTATAAAAAGACAAGTGCATTAGGTTATAATCAACAATTTCCATTGTAAAAATATGTTTACAAATAAAAAGTAATCTGCATTAGCTACGACGTGTCACTGTTGAGCTGCAGTTTAGGGCCACAAAAATCAGCCCAGTGGCCAAAAATGGCCCTCGGACCACACTTTGGTCACCCCTGACCTAAATATTTATACACCATGGAAGTTGTTAATGAATTTAAAACATTCTTAATGTAGATTTTTTAAAGTTGTGTATTTAATCAGGAAATTAAATATAAGTGAAAGTATTTTAGACTGCATAGAAGTATCTTAAAGCATTTAAACTTTTAACATGTTTAAAAGTTAAACATGTTTATACACAAAGTAAACAAAACAAAAACTCCAACAAATTGTTGCCATAAAGAGGAGTTTCTTACGCTTCCCTCTGGAAGTGGAGCAAATTTATATATTAATTTATCCCAATTTACTCAGAGTTGTTGTCAGGTTGTGTCTATTGTTGTTTTGTAGGTTTGTGATTTTGTTGTGGTCCTGTTTATTATGTATTGAGTGTTTTTAACCACCATGTGAAGCCAAACGCCAACATCACAACATCATCTAATAAATGTTATTATTATGAACATGTTTTCGCTCCTATATCGTTACAATTGAGCTTTCAGGCAACAAACCAACTTCTTTAAAAAGTCTGAAGCATGTGACATGAAACCCAATGAAACCAATTGATTTCAAGTCGCTCAGTAAGTAAACAGAGTCAAACTGTGGATAAGTTATGAATCAGATGATCTGTGAAGATTGGAGATTTTTGGTGAACAATAGTAGTTAGCCGTGGAGAAGCTTAAAGCTGAATTAGGTGATATTATAATATAATCTCACTGAACGCTTATCAGTCCATCTGAAAATGCAAACATGCCAAGACTTGATTGTCCACCGACAGTGTCTTAGACAGAATAATACTAAACTAATAATAAACCCGTTCAGCCTTTAATAATTACAGCTTCATTCATTTTCAGGGTTTGTTTTATGTGTGGAAAAATATACATTTTCCAGACACATAGTGTGATTTTATGGCACAAGCAAGTAACTATGTTACCTTCTATTGTTAGAAAAATGCTTTATATGTCAAATATGACGGAAAATAAATTTGATTTTGTAATTTAACGCATTGAAATTGGGGCTCTGTCTCTTTAAAAACTCCTGCTCTTTCTGAAACTCCGCCTCCAGAAAGTCATCACAACATGGCTCCCCTATTAACCCTTTAAGAATGTTTTATAACAAACTTAGCAGTTCTACCAGGTGTTTGCTAATTGCTTCTGGCTAGTCTGAAGGAGCTGGTGTGTTACGAGGAATCTCAGAGGAGGAGCTGTGTCCTCGAAGGCGGAGCTAGGTCCAACCAGGCGTTTTTCACAGCTGAATGGTTGCCATGGAGATTAAAGGATTTCTCAGACATGAATGAAAGGATCAAGGCAACACTTTAGTTATGTTTCTGATGAGGGAATAACTTTATAACATAATGTAAAGCTACAAAAAGTTCAAATATATAAAATGTCAATGAAAAAAAATATACTGAAGTTTGTTTGCAACGTGACAAAATGAGGAAAAAGTTTCAGAAATATCAACAAGTTGTGTTGCTGCACCTGTTCATCGTTTGGCCCCTGAGCTGAAAATCTGACGGCACAAATGACGCAAAGTTGCATTTTACTCCCTTTAATTCCGCTGTTTATGCGCTGATTTGTGGTTTTCCTCCGTCCTGCTGCAGCCCTCTAACGGACAGCCATATTTGTGCGGCTTGCAACGGGATGACTTCTCCAGCTGCTGTCAGTGGAGTTTGGCTGCGCAAGCAAGCGGTGAGGTGTCAGCGTTACTGGCGAGGAAGAAGGCCACAAGCTTAACCTGAGTGTGGACAAGGTGTGCCCCAGGAAACCATTTTAAAGTTGTACATGGATTATGAGTCCAACTGGCCGCTTTCCTGTCCAATGTGCGCACTTTAATGTGATTTAAGCTTGTTTTGTTGGAGTCAAACAAGCCGCGGTGGCCTTAAAATCAGTGTCACCAGCTGAGTTTGAGGAACAGCGACTAGCTTATTTATAAAATCAAACAGTTCATGCAAGGCCTCGAGCTGTGACGCCTCTGTTTGCCTATAATCAATCAATTTAGTTCATGCTTTTGTGATCGGATGGGTGAAAACGTCGGCAGGGTCGCAGTGCATGAGTGCCTAAGCGGCGCAGATAAGCCAGAGTTTCTCCTGGAAGGACAGCAACATCTCCAAACTTCTCCAACATCTCTTACCGCTGGAGCGCTCCGTCCGAGGCGCAGCGGTCGCTGCAGCAGCCGCCGCCGCGGCCGCGCCTCCCGCTGCTGCCGCGCAGCCTCCATTTTCCTGCTCGTCCCCGCTGCTGTTCGTGCGTTTGCTCTTCTTCCCCTTGCTGCTCTTCTGGTTGGGCATTTTACGCGATTCGCAACGTCGGCGGCTGGGTTTTCGACCTCTATCAGCGCCTCCCGTCAGCGCCGTCTGGCATTTCTGTGGACTCCATTTGCGGACTTCGACGGAGCGTTTGCGCTTTCTGTTTTGCGCCTCGCTTGGCGGCGGAGGTTTCCTCCAGCCGTGGGCTTTGCTGCTTGCAGCAGGTAGAAGAAATAAGCTGCTATAACCTTTTAGAGCGAAGGCGTGTCCGTGTCTTGTTTTGATTCCTGATCTGCTGTTTTCTTCCACCCCCTGACGTCCGCTGGTCCCGCCCCCTCCCCCCGCCGCTGGCCGTCAACGACGTGCCGCGTTCAAGTCCTCTCGGAAAACGTGGAACTACAAAGGTGACAGCAATTTGGAAAAGAAAAACGGAGTATTAATGGATAAAGCTGTGGTGTCCAAACGTTTTCCACCGAGAGTCAAAATTATTTTTTTCTACGGAAGAGGATTAGGGCCACTGAAAAAAAAAGAATCTGAAATTATACACACACATATTTATGCATAAGTCATGCATTTGATTAATTTTTTTATTTTTTATATTCCATTAACAGTTTAAAATCATGCAAGACAAAAGTCAGTTTTGTCTTATATATTTGTTTTGTATGTTTTTTCATTAGTTTAATTAATGTATAAACCTTCCAAGTTGCACCAAGAACAAAAAAATCTTTTAATTTAATGACTCTAATGCAACATGGTGCAAGTATTTCTAATCCCTTGAATGACCAAAATCTCCTCTGATCCATAACAGAGGATTTAAGAGGCCAGAAGCAATTTATGAAAACAATTCAGAGATTTTGGAAAAACAATCACAACTCAAGTCTTCAAGTGTAAAGACTTTATTTTGTTCCACAGCAGAACCAACTTCAGTTCTGTTGGTAGTAATGATGGAGCCAAACATACAGTAACGTTGCACTTAAACGAACACAAACGGCATCATCATTCCCACAACTTTTAAGACTTTTCGGTTTCATTCACTCTGATAATGTCTCCGCATTTAAACAAACATCAAACTGAACCAAAACCAGAACGCAAAAAAAGTGGTGAAGTCGATTCAACAGCAGAGAAACGGGTCATGTAAAACTTACAGATCAGATGTATTTCATAATCCTTCTCAGTTACTTTTACAAACTGTTGTGCAAACTGTTTATTTATTTTAGAGAAATAAATCAAAGGAATAAGATGCAATCAAATTTTATTTAAGGATTTATTTCCAAATAATTTCTTGAGCAAGGAAAAGTAGTCACACCTGATCCAAATGTTTCGTTGGACCAACAGCACAAGATTAATATCATAAATCTCAATTTCTAACACTAAATAAAGCCATGGGGCAGTTATCAAGCACATTTTTGGTCCTGAGAATCATAAGTACATTTTCCACCACTTAAGGCTGCACAAGAAATACATTCTCCATCTGTTCATTACAAGATCCAACAAAAAAGGCAGTTTTTTTTTTTTTTTTGGAGAAAATTCATTCGTGACATTTTTTAAAAACTGTTTTTGTTGTAATGAGTCAGAAGAGCAGCACTGAAATGCGCTTTTAATTTTCCTTGTGGTCAAAGTTTGTATAAAAAGTCGCTGTGCTTTGAACGCCGTGTTTGAAAGTCCACAGGAGGTAGTAGAAGCGGCGCATGTAAACAGTAAGCAGAACCGCCGTTTGGTTGAAGCAACGCTGGGATTTAACAACAGATGATGCACAGGATTTTTCCGATCTGATGGGAAAACAGCTGCCTTTAGAGAACAAGAAGTCAGAACTATAAACAGGTTTTCTAAGCACTGAAACGCTCAAGAAAGGCATCTGGTTGGGATTTACTAACTTTATCCAAAAAAAAAGACAGCGAAAGATGACGTAACCTAAAAAAAAAGGTATGTTACATTCTTGGTTTGTGCATTTTTAATGTTAAATCCTAAATTATAGTAAAATATGTTTCTGTACTCAGCAGGATCAGATAGCAACAATCAAGACAGTGTAGGAGTCCGAAGCAGAAAGCTGATTTTCCAAATTGGAACATGCATCTTTTGAGATTTTAGAAACTTTATAGCTGAAGGGATAAAATGTGCAACGGAAAAATATAGAAATATCTGTCCGAAGAACCGATAACACTCCAGAGCTGCTGCAGCGCTTAAAAATTTTGGCACAGTCAAGTGAAATAATGCAGAAATGCCAGCAAACTGTGATTGAATATTAGTTTGACGGATCTGGAAATGAAAAAGAGAGAGAAAAACTTGGACAGATTTGCTGCAGGGACACAGCGTTCTCAGAGGTTTTAGTCAGACCCTCGGCTCATTAAAGGGTCGTTAAATTCAAAATTTGGCTTCATTCCTTCAACAGGATGACATCCACGTCGTCATGGACACCCTGCAGGAGCAGCTCGCCCTGGAAGTCAATGATCTTCTTCTTCTTGGCCGCCTTCAGCGTCCCCACCAGCGCCTCGAAGATGTTGGCGCAGCGGTCGTCCCTAAATAAGACGCCGAACTTCACACTGGTCTGATCTTTGTCATCTGGAAGAGAATTGGTATAAAAGATTTTACAGGTAAACATGATGGAATATTGAAAAATACAGTGAATAACCAATGTTTTGAGCTTTTTTCATCCTGTGTCTTGTTATAAATACTAACATATATGTATTTCATTGGGATTTTATGCAATATATCATCACAAAATGGAAAGCAGCAATCAGAGAATTTGAACTTTTTGGTTTACAATTAAAGCTTCCTGTTTAGTGGAAAACCAAGACTACGTATTGCTCTGAACACACCATAAACATGGCAAAACATGGCGGTGGCAGCAGCATGTTGTGGGAAGTTGAATGAAGCTAAATAAAGAATACAGGGTAAAAATATGTTGGAGGTAAAGACTTGAGAATGAGGCAGAAAAAAACCTAATATACAGCCAGACATACAAAACAGTGAACCTATATTAAAGCAAGTTCATGTCCTAAAATGGCCTAATCAAAGTCAAGACATGTAGTAAGTTAGAAATCTTTGTCATGACATGAGAATTGGTGTTTACAGAAACTATTTTGCTAAACGAAATAGTAGGAGTTATCGCATTATCATTTATCGTGATAAAACATTTTATTCATTGTAGTCGGTATAAATTCCAATTAATGATGTTTAAAACCCCACAAAACTGTCCGTATTGCTGTGATTGTTATTTTTCTTTACTATTCTCCACTGTTTGTTCAATGAAAGAATGAATAAATATCAATGACTTTTGCAGTCACAACAATAGTTACGTAAAAAAGAGGTAATTATGATTATTACTTTTGTGTTTATCAAAATATTGTGATAAAACTTTAAATCCTCGGTTGCTAGGTAACGGGCTGGAATTAGCTGGGGTTGCTAGGTAATGGGCTGGAATTAGTTGGGGTTGCTACGCAACGGGCTGGAATTAGCTGGGGTTGCTAGGTAATGGGCTGGAATTAGCTGGGGTTGCTACGCAACGGGCTGGAATTAGCTGGGGTTGCTAGGTAACGCGCAGTGATCTTCCAATGTGACTTAACAATCGGGAGGTTTTTGAAACCTCCCGATTGTTAAAACTTATTAATGTTAAAACTTATTAATGTTTTAACATTAATAAGTTAATGTTAAAACATTAACTTATTACCAAGAAACGTTTAAGAGTTGAAGTTGATTTTTTTTTTTTTTAAATGGGGATGCTTGATGCACATCTTCCACTTTATAAATTCAAGTTTTTGTGTTAATCTCTCACACAAAACCATAATAAAATAAAATACAATGACATTTGTGCTTTTAATATGACAAAATGCGAAAAATATGTGTTAACACCACATGCTTTAGAGCTTAAGGCAAATAACTGACTAACGGGGTCAGTTTTTCGATCAGACAATCTTATCTCATTATGTTTGCCAAATCTAGGAAAGGTTGAGTGTCACATGATTATATTATTTAACTTATTGTTTGTTATAGCAAACAACTTCCAGACACAAAACATCAACATCCTGCCATGCCAGGGATCATAGTCTGGACTCACTTTTGCTGCCAAGTCGCTGAATCTCCTCCACAAGCAAATTTATTTCATGAGACACATTCATTGTTGCTGAAGGGGGGAAAAAACACACAAAAAGGAAACAAATTAGTGAAAAAACATATGAATAAATTTTATTAGATTTTTATAGATGTGGATATGAGACATGAAATGCCCAGAGCAGCGCTACCCTGAACTGCCTGCAGAGCTGAGATCAACGTTAACATGCTGCAACTTGAACTAACCAGGGCGGACTGTCACTAATGCGGAAATACAGGATTAGCACCCACAGCTAGCCAACACAAGACACAAATTCATATTTTTACTCTTTAATTATCAAAGGTAAATATTAATTTTAAGGCGCGGCTTCATTCTCACAACCTGGTCCATTTTTCCTGTGACTTCCGGGTGCAAAACACGGATTTCTCCGCTCAGTACCTCAGACAAATGATCTGCCGGTGCGGATAAAGGAGGTTTTTTCTTTTTTCTTTTCTTTTCTGTCGGTTGTACTGATTTTATGTCAGATACGAAACATTTTAAAATGTTTACACATAACAACCCCCAAACGTGACGGTAGTAAAAAGAGTTTTACCTTTTTAGGTGTTGTGCGTTTTCCTGTAAGGAGATGATGCAGGACTTTCTGAAGAGTCGGCACCCGGTAAGAATGCTGTTGCGTTCAGCGGGTGCTCGGAATTTCCGCTTCTTGAAATCAAGTACAAAAAAAAATGGGGTTTGTGTTTTACATTTTTATCTGTTTATCTGGGAACACATACAAAAAAACTTTAAGTTCAGTGGTAAATCATGTATTACACTACATTGTAGCTTTTTCCATTTCCAATCCCAGTGGCAGGAAAAAGTAAAGTCAAGAAGAAATGCAACAAATTGGAATACATTTGCTGACTGAAGCGCTATGAAGAACCTCATAGTGCTGACTTGCGTAAATTTAGCTACTTTTCACTGAAAAGCGTCAAAATTAACCTTTTTTTTAATGGTATGTTTCCATTCCGGACCGAATGTAACATGAAAGCATCACGATTACGGGCTGTAATGATGGGAATTCCGGCTCCTTTTAAAGATCCAAATCATTTGATTCAGATCTTCCGTGTGCGAAACATCAGTTTTACATTGGACTGCTACTCTGTTCCAAAAAGGCAGATTTTAATATTTATTGAACCAGGACTGGTCAATCGGAACAGTCAGAATTAGAAGGATTCTGACGGGAAAATTCACGGCAAGTAAAGAACTAGCACATTTGGCCGGCTCGGTCACAACAAACACATCACCACTCATCTGACTTCATTGTGACACACAGGATGTGATAATTTCACGATCTCTGGTTCATAATGGGCTAAAAGTTGGTTAAGTCTCATATTTATGCATTTGTCAGCAAGAAAGAATTTATTTATTTTATTAAGAAAATTATATTAATGTAATACTTGATATTTTTTTGGTTACAAATTACTTTACATAGTTGAATCTGAAAGGGTATGTATACATTTTAATTGTATATATTTCCATCTTGAATGAAAGTTCTACTCTATTTGCATATTTTTATGCTCAAAATGTGGTTTAATTTAGTTAATTATTTCACAATTGCCCTTTTGCATTTTGCGTTATGGTTTGTTCACCATACCAGAATTGCTACATGAAAAAGTTAAGCACATTAGGGTACAAGGAAAACCTTTATTACCTCAATGTTTACAAGAATCTAAGTCAAATTATTAATATTTTATTTTTGCAGTGAACAAGGACAATCCTGAGTTATTTTTGTATCATTGATGCCTCTGACATCTTTCTGGAATAACTTTATGAAAACAGACAAAAATCCAGCATATTATTTATTTTCCATAATAATTATAAAGTTAGGGGGAAAGCTACACTTTTTATTCTGAAATTACTCATCCGGGTCCCTACAGGCCAAACAGGAGCCCAGTAACGTTTGGGAACGTCAAGTTAAAGAGTAACATGCATAAAGTCAAGGCTCATACTGGAACTTGGCTCATTGTCCTTTCAAAACAAAAGCTCTTGTTCTCATTTATTTTTTATATGTCTGTGTTTAATTTGTTGAGTTATATTTAGTCAGATCTGTTTAACATTACCCATAAAATTTTATGGGGCCCAAAGTAGAATTTGATTTTGGAGCCTAGTTAAAGCCCACCACATTTATTAATTATTTAAACATTTGTATTATTCACCAAATCATGCTTTGTTGTTAACAGCTGACCCAACATTAGCACTTTAAGAACTTTTTGTGTGAATATTTAAAGTATGATGGTGTATTAGGGTTGCAGGACAAGACCGTTTCTATTTCTATATTTATTCTATTTAATTATTTATGATTTCTCTGATTTACTACTTTGGTCTGGCTATGTTTAATTCATTGTACTTACAGAAAACCATGGAAATTTGTCCCTTGTCAAGATTTATTTGGTAAACAGCATGAAATATTACATACATAATTTCTACAGAAGCTGTAGAAATTATATTACTCAAAGTAGATTACAATTGTTTTGTTTGTATGATCATGACTGTTTGTAGCTCCTTAAAGTGCTATGTAAATAAAGTATGACAGCTTATTAAGGTCATTGTACATAGAAAAAAGAGGAGTACATTTCTACCAAAAAAGAGTCAGACATTATGAGATTAATCTCAGAAATTATCTAGAAAAGCTTTTCTGAGTTTGAAAAGTAAAAACAAAAAATTGCTGTAAAAAATCAGAAGTTTTGAGACTAATCTTAGAAATCTGTGTGGAAAAAACGTGGAAATTTTTCTGTTTGAAAAGTGGAAAAATTGTTATAGAAAATGCTGAGAATTTGAGATTAATTTCAGAAATCTTCATGAGATTTTGTTTTACATTTCTGAGTTTGAAAGTTGGAAATTTTCAACTGGAAATTATCAGTTATTTTCTAGAAAATTTCTGTTTTTTCTAGAAAAATTTCGACTTTCAAACTCAGACATTTCCACATTTTCATCTAGAAAATTTGAGATTGTTTTTGCGGAAATTTACTCCTTTTTTGTAATAAAATCCAATGATATACAAAACGGCCATTATTTTGAAGGGTAAACCGGAAGAAGCGCTCTGCCTCCGGGCCGGCTTGACAATGACGGCAGGAATGGCGGCTATGATTACCAGAGGAAGGAGCCCCAAGACCCTGAAACTTTACTTCTAACGGCCCAGCGGAGGAGTCTACCTCGGGCCAGGATCGGAACCACCATCCTGTCGCAGATCCAGGGGAGAAGAAGTCTTGTACCGCGAGATCAACGCGGCTGATGCTCACATCGAGGAGGCGGACGCACTTTGCTAGTTTAGCCTTCTGTTCGAGCCGCTGACTTTGATTCAAGGTAGCCGTGTTAGCGGTTGGCCACTTTGGCTTGGCTGCCCAACAAGTTAACTAACTGTGTGAAAGCTATCCTCGGCTGGGTGACCGTGCAGGGGTCAGCGTCGTTTACCAGGATTCAGTATTAGGGACGTTCGCGGAGCACAGTTTTACTGCTAACCTCACCGTTAGCCGACTTGGGATCCTGAAGTCTCATCCGTTTTCGGATCCTGCCCCAGCCATTGGCTAAGGGGGCTAATCAACGGCCAGCTAGTCCGCTTTCCTGCTTCACTCGGTACGACGATGGAAAGCTTAACGCTGAGTGATGTCGAGCAGAAATACTACTCGGAGCTTTTCGTCTACTGCGACACGGACAACACCAAAAAAGTGGCTTCTAATGGGAGAGTTCTTGACCTTTTCCGGGCGGCCCAGCTCCCCAGTGAAGTTGTCCTGCAGGTAAGCTAACCACAACCAGGTAGCAGTTTGCGTAAACTCCCAACCACCCCGTACGCCGCACAAATAGATGTTTATACGGAAGATGTATTAAACGGTGTTGCCTGTCAGAGTGATGACCTGAGGTTAGCCAGGCAGGTTAGCAAAGCTGCGCAGCGAGAGACACACCTTCCTCCGGCTAAAGTTAGCCAAACTACACGGCTGTGAATTAACTTCTCAGCTTCAGATCAACAAAATAAATCCTACACAGACCCGCGAACCTCAGTAACCCTACATGAAGTCAACAAACATGGCTGGTAATTAAAATTCAAAAGGATAAAATGGAAACACAAGCAGCTTTAATATCCCTTACATTTTATTAGTATCCATAGACGATCAAAACATTTTAAGGCCCCAAGCTGAACTTTATTAGGGGCCCCTTTTCCAGTAAAAGCCCATTTCCCACCATTATAAGTTGAAAAGAATCACTCAAGTGCAAACAAGGAGCAGAAATAAGTAACAATTCTCATTATAAACATGGGTATTAAAGAATGCAACTATTTTATTTATTATAAGTAGTAGCTGTATTTGACAGTTTTTAAAATGCTTAAAAATTTGAACCACATTTACTATAGAAAATAAAGTGTACTAAATATCCCTTAAATTGATCATTTATAACTATTTTTCGTTTATACATACTTATTTTGTGGAATAACATTATAATAAACCGATATAAGCTGGTTATTTATAACTGTCGTTTTCTGTAGTTTAATCTGAGTGATGCCTCTTTGGTAGCCACACCATGACTCTCCATATTTTTCCACACCTGGAAACATTTCCAAACTACCAAATTTATCTCTCTTACAGGTGAGAAAAGTGTAGGAACCGTCATTATTTTTATACCGTAAGAAGTTTTTTGATGAAGAATTGACACAAGTAACCAGTTAAGTCCTCATTTTTAGCAACAGTTGCTAAAGTTGTTCTTCAATTCCTTGATATCAACCTAATCTTGTCAAAATGAGTGCTACACAACAAAAAAATAATCTGTTAAGGTTTTCATCCATTGTAAGATGTAATGTTCCCATCAGGCTTCGAGCTGACTGCTCAGTGTTTCCTCCCTTTTCCTTCCACTGATATCTGCCTCCCTGCTGTCAGGGTTGAGCTGACATGCTGCACACACAGGCTTTATGTCACCGTGTGCACTTCTTAATGTAACAGCCAGCTGCAAGCTTAGAGTCTTCACCGCTGATCAACCCTCAAATACATTTTGGTTTTATGATCTAGTTGTGAAATTGTATGTATTCTGCTTAAAGGTAGCATTAATAAATCTTGATCACGGGTTACGACTGTTGGGAAGAAGACCTGGAACCAATCCTGTGAGATGTTTTAAAAGGTTTTAAGTCTGTAATATTCTTATCTTTCTTACTAAAAAACAATTTCATTGACTATACTAATATATTCCTTGCTTTTAAAACATGTTGGGACGTTTAGAGATGCGCAGATTATATCAGTATTGAATTTAAATCATACAAAAACAATGTTTCTATTCATGATTTGCATCCAAACTAATATTTCCAGTCATTGATTTAAGTTTAATTTAAAAAATAACTAATAATAATGGTATGGGATGATTAGTTTGAGGCATAAATATGGATTTTTTTGTAATTTTATTTCTGATGGACTCCAATATAACAAAGAACATGCAGCAGATTTTTGCTTTTATTTGTTCCAGCCATTTAAAGAAATGTTTTAATCCTCAATCTAATCTCCCAAATTAAAACATCCTTTATGTTTCGCTCAGACGTAATTTATTTTAACATCTTAAGATTTTATTTTTAATTGTTTCCCATTGGGCATTCCATTTAATATACATCATTTTTGTGGTTTTAATTTTGAACAACCAAACAAAGTTGGTGTTGCAACGCTCTTTGGCAGCAACTGCTTGGCTCTGCGGCCTCCACCCTGTCTGTTTCTGTGCAAATAATGTTGAATTTCTGACCGCATGCATTTCTTTAAGAGCCCCTCAGTTTTCCTTTAGCTTAGTGGCGCCGCCTGACGATTTGCCGTGCGCTGGTGCAAACACGGCGATGTTGAGAGAGCATCTTCAGCTCCTGGTCTCTGTTTAACTCTGACCGTTCTGGTGTGACTCGGCGTCGCTCAGCAGGCCAGTATTTGCCGTTTGTGAGTCAGCATCCTTCTCAAGGTCAACAAGGGGAGGCTGTGTGGTGGAAGAATTGTAATCCTTCTCTAGTTCGAAAATCCACACTGGGCACAGTGTTGATGCTGCAGTGTCATGTTGTAACAGGCTGAGAAAAGTGGCTGGTGCTTTATATGCTCTCACACACACACACACACACACACACACACACACACACACACACACACACACACACACACACACTTAGATTAGGTCCTTTGTCAGCAGGAGCGGGATCGGTCAGCTGTGGCAGTTCCCAGTCCTGAAGGACTCCCACTTGAAGGCTTGTTCTAACGTTACGAAGCTGAACTCTCCTGATATCAGGCGGCTACAGTTTGCATTTCTGGTTGTGTGTATCCACGCTGTTTCTGGTGAAAGGCATTTCAAACATTTTTCAGATTTCTCCTTATCTGCCCACCCTGAAGGACTTTCAGAACAACAAAGTTTGGACACGATAACCAGTTTTACTGGACGATAAATTGTCCCAGAAGTTTTTGCGATAAACGATGATGTTGTTGATTTGAAACCAGTTTGAAGTAATACAATGGTAATGGCATAATAATGCAAGAACACATTCTCAAAGATGAATAAACGTTATATTCTAATGAACATTTAACAATAAATAAACAAAACAACAAAAACGGCAAATAAAATGAATTATAAAGTCTTTGTAAACAAAATTGTCCCCCCAAAAAGAGACCAAAGCACCAAACTGAAGATTTTAATCATCCAGTTTTTGGTAGAAAATATGGCTGTTGTAAAGAAATATTTTAGTGTTTGATTATTTTATCAATTATTCTTATGATTAATTGAGTAATTGGATAAAAAAAATGGCTAAAATTGGTAAATCTAACATAACAGCAGTATCACTATGGTATACAAACATCAGTCCAATTTTTCATATTTGAACATCCCTAACAATTAATGTTCTGCAGTTTAGAAAATTTACCTCCAAGAGTAATATCTCACTTTCTAAGTTAACCTGAAGAAAAGTTACACAATCTGAAATTATATTCAATTTAATAATAAAGAGGCAGCCTCACAAATAAACTTATTGACCATGTCTTTACTCCAGCTTTTAGTTTATGTATTCATTTTCAGTCAATTTAATGGGTGAATTCTCACTTTGCCAGCCATTTATTGCTTTTGTGTCCTTGTTAGCTTTAGTTCCTTAGTCACACAGAAACTCATCTACCAGCTCTGTGCCGCCATGATGCGCTCTGCCACCCATTTGTTGAGTCCGCGGTGATATGAAATTAATTTTCCAGTTCGTCCGTAAAGCTACACTTACGTTAAGCATCAACTACAGCAACAGGCTGTAGTTGATGTGTTCAGTCTATCTGCTCACCTGTATAAATGCACCCGCTCCGCCACCAGGCAGCATCTCTGGGAGGAGAAAGGCTGCCGTACTCCAGGCGTCGCACCAGTTATTTTAAGGATGCTTATTGGTCCCCCAAAAAAACGATAAAAACCGACATTATGCTGCTAACACTTAGCTTTTGTCAACAACTCGGAGACGGAAGTGAGAGCATAAATAATCACCCGACCGCAACACGGTGCGCAAAATAATAAACATAACTTAACGAAGCTTTGAGGCAGATCATTTTCCTTGAAGAATTTTAATAATCAAGTTACTCGAATCATTCAAGGAATCGTTTCAACCCTTGTAGAAAGAGAAAAACAATAAATCACGCAAATGGAAATTATTGCGCTTGTTTTAATTTTTCATGCGATTGATTTATTGCTTATTGCAACAGGCCTAATCAGGTTTATGACATCTGATCATCTGCTAGCGAGAGCGCTAACAAATAAGAGAGTCGCTGTTCGACAAAAAAAAAAAAAAAAGTGCGATACTGTTTGGACAGTCATTGTTTTTGGGTAGAAACAGAAGGTGTGGATTCTGAGAGGGAAGTCCTGCTGAATACAGTGTTGACTCTTCCTCCTTATCTCTCTCTCTGTGTGTGTGTGTGTGTTCAGATCACAGAGTTGTGTGGAGCCACTCGGCTGGGTCACTTCGGACGGAGCCAGTTCTACATTGCGTTGAAGCTCATCGCCATCGCCCAGTCTGGGCTGCCCCTCAGGGTGGAAAGCCTCAATTCAGGTGAGTCCAAACCTGAATATTCTCATTGTCAGTGCGGCGCCTTTTATTAAAGCCTCTGTTGTTTGCATATGGAGCAGGAATACAGTAAACATTGATGTTTACTTTGAACGCAAACTGCTTGTGGAAAATAAAATCTCCTAGTTTGTAAGTAGAGTCGCGCTGGTTTGTTTTGAAACAGCTGGTAGCGTTTAAATTCAGAGTTTTATAGGGAATGGTTGTAATTTTCATCAATAAAAAGAGAAAATTGATCCATCGTCAAACATGATGACTGGCAATTTGTTTATAGAAACATCATAATCCATTTTATTTATGGTTTCTGTTATAAGTGGTTTTTATTTCTGTTTATTTTGGTCATGTTTGTCTTGGATATTTGAAATATCTTCCAGTTCTAGTGTGAATGTTCTTTACAAAATTACACTTAGTTATGATATTATAACTTGAAAATGGCCTCAAAACAATTATAATTTATTGCAATAATTATCATCCAGCTGAATGTGTTATTGTGACGGGTACAGCTGCAATTAAGTGATTTTAGTTATCAATTTATTCTATCAATTATTCTGACGACTCTGGGGAAAAAATATTTGCACATTCTGCACATCTTTCATTTAAGCCTTTTTTATACAATGTTAAAAATACATTAAGAGATGCAAATAAACAATTCAATTCCTTTTTTAAATAAGAAAATAAACATGTTATTGCCTAAAATGCAGCAGCACAATATTCCTTTAGTTCATTCTTTATCATTTGTAGCAAAGGTTGCGTCTGCAACTAAATAAATATTTCTACCAACAACGTGAAAAGCTCAGCAGATCTGGTGGTTATTTTATTTGATTGAACATCAGAAGCTTCTTAGATTTTTTACAGTAATTTTTACTGGGTGAAGCTAAAAGAACGACATTTAAGAGTCTTTTGATGGAAAATATTTACAAACAAAAGTTTTTTTTTATCTTAAATGCAAAATATTTATATTTTCTGTACAGTTTTGGCTTAATTTCTGCTCTGAATCTGCTGCTGTTTCGACTTTTTTGGAGTGTATGTACCCCTCTCAACGTTTCTCAACGTTCGGTTGAATGCTAGGGCAGTCATTCATTCAGCGGCCCGTCGTGTTTTTGAGTTAAAAATGTTTAAAGTTGACATGAAATTTAAAAATATTCCTTGATAATTATGTGTTATTGGAAGATTAACACCTGAACACCAGCTATAAAGTCTTAAAAAATGCAAACACTTTATAAAGAGTTAAATAAATAAGCAATGTTTAGCCTGGTGGGGGCACAAGAAAAGCCTGGTGGCCCGCCAGGCTTATAAAACACTGAGGGAAACCCTGCCTCTGTCATTCCTGTTTGCAATTATGCACTACTTTATGTTCAGATATAAATTTGAATAAAATATATGAAACGTTGTAGCTGTAGCATGTGTGAACGTGGCTTCCTGTTTGATTAAAGCACTCAAAGTTTTCACTCTTACTCTGAGTTGCATGTTGGGCCCTGAAATGTTGCAACATGCGCCAATGATTTCATAATTTGAACATTTGAGGAAGCGAAGCGACCACTTCCTTTTGCTATAAAAGGACACATTGTACCTCATGAAGGTTATTAACTTTGTGGGCGTTTTGAAGTTAAGATTCCTGATTCAGTTGATATTGAATAGAGGAGTTCTGGTTAAAAAAGTTACTTTTGTTCCTCAGTAATTGAATGTTTGGCATTTCAGAAAACAGCAGAAACCTGGAAGCATCCAGCCTCTCCAACTGTTTCAGCTGGTTTATTTTTCAAGTTTGACATTTCTTTATATCATAAACTAAGATGCATATATTTTTAACAACTAGAGGCAACAGAATGCATCATGGATATATATATATATATATATATATATATATATATATATATATATATTTCTAAATTAAATTTGGCTCTTCAAGAGCGGAAAGAGACATGATTTGATTTGCACATGTACAGTAGGAGGTCTGCTGGGTTTATTCAGTTTATTTCTATAATCAGATCATCAGAATAGTTGTCCAGACTGATAATGGAGCAGAAATTTAAGCCTGAATTTAACCTCTTAAATTAAATTAAATCTGCACAATATCAGGAATATCAGCCATTTCTGAAAAACGTGATGATAATATAGATTATGTTCAGTCTCTCACCTATAATATTCAAATAGGTAGAGGTAATACGAACTCAGGTTATTTCATTAATGCAACTTTTTTACTTTATTAACATTAATTTAATAAAGTCAGTCCAGCCGATACAGTCTCTTTTTTTCTAGAGAAAAACTTCCCAACCAGATTCTCCAAATGAAAAAAATTTGTTATGATTAACCTACATTTTTCTGATTCTATATTTTCATTACAATTACACGATGCCACCTAGCACTTTCAGTTGGAGTGAAATCTGTTGCAGTTTGAACGCCAAGCAAACTGCAAATCATTCCAAAATCAGGAAGTGGACTATGGAGCAGGGCATTCTGGGTAAATGCAACCAAAACAAACTCCTTGTGAGTCATCTTTTACTAAACATAAGAAAAACCCTACAACCGCTAAACGCTCATGCTACTCCATTGTAGTTGTGCTTATTTCTTCTTCAAAAGTTTCCATGTTGTTTCCTTCAGTAGCTTTCGGTACAGCGCCCCCACAGGCGAGGAGGGGAAGAGGTTTTTCAAAAGTTTTTGGTTCGTTTGACTCTGTGCAGTGAGAAAGCGAACCGCACCAACTGAAACATGAGTCAAATGTTGTAATTATGATCTCCAGTTGAGCCGATATAGCTCAATTTTTGTGAATTCTAAGATTTTATGTTCAATTTATTTAATGCTTCTCACTTTATCATCCAAAGGTTAACTATGTTTAATTTGTTTCACGCGTTTATGGTCACTTTTAACACGTTTATGGTTCACCGGGTTTTGCCCTCCTCTTCTCATTCTCCTCCTGTTTTATTGCCGTTTCTATTTCAAGACTAAAACACTTAAGATGTAGCTCTGAACACTTCTGAGCAAATATTAGCTCCCATATTTTACGGTAATCTTTTAATTTCGCACAAATAAGCCAAGCTGTGCTGAACAGATCAGTGCGTTTTATTTTGAGGAAGCAAAAATCTCCACACTGCTCCCATTTTATGGCTTTCCCTCATTTTACAAGCTATAATATTGTCAGCTGATGCCTACAACTGTATGACTCAGCTCAACGCGTAGACAGACTAGTTACAGACACATTTTCAGCGCCTGTGGAAAGAGACTGGATCATCGCTTTTTTGTTAAAATGCCTGGATTTGGTTTGATTTAATTCATTTTTTCCTTTACTTCTTGACAGTCAAAGATCTGCCGCTGCCCAGGTTCGTGGTGGGGAAGAACGAGGCAGAAGCGAGGCACGCTGCCCTGTACCAAGACGCAGACAGCCAAGGCTTGTACCCGGCGCCCGGAACTGCTTTAATACCCAGACCGCCGGGCCGGGGTCACCAGAACAAGAAAGGCCCCCCTTCCTCCACTTCACTTCCTGCCCACGAGGTCATCCAGCCCCTGGCGCCCAGCATAGAAGCTCAGGTTGGTAACCAGGCAGCAAATACTCTTATTTCTCAAGCTGTTTGCCAGCGAAACCACTCAGATAGTAAATCTAGATGACTTTTACTAGTGTGGTCTTCATTTTGAAGAGTGATGTATAACATTTCAAGCCTGCGGCTCCTACAGATAAGCGTCTGAAGTATTACTACTTTATTTTCCTGTGGGTGTTTGATGATTTGTTGCTCAAATTGCTTCCTCAGTGTTTTGACTTTCCAATCAGCCAAGTAGATCTTTTACACGCCGGTTATCTCTTCTCGTTTTGAAATTCATTCACTGGTTGCTTTAACATCCTTCATCTGAAATGAAGCAGATAATTCACTTTGATCTGATTTGAATGCCCTAAAGTGGAGCTGTTATGCAAATTTCACATTTGCATATTTTTGTACTTTCATTTCACTGCAAAAACGCAAAATCTTACTTTTGGTCTAGTTTCTAGTGCAAATATTGTATCGCACTTAAAATAAGACAAACTAACTTAAAGTAACTTTTCAGCAAAATATTGAGGCTTGTTGTGAGTAAATAATTCCTTAATATTGATGGAAAAAATGCTTGTTCTGTTAGCAGATAATTGAACTAATAACCTGTGAAAAATGTCTTACAAGTTAAATAATCTGCCAATGGAACTGGTACTTTGGCATCAATATTAAGGAATTATTTACCTAAAATAAGTTTCTGTAACTTGCTAAAAAGTTACTTGTGAGTTAGTTTTGTCTAATTTGAAGTTTGCTAAAGTATTTGCACTAAAAACTACACAAAAAAAACTTGGTAAGATTTTGCATTGATGGATTTCTGCTGCTTTTAAAAAATACCCATGTTTTTTGGTGTCTGGAAAATTAGCAGTTTCAAAAACAAAAAAGAAAAAAAAAAAAAAAACTCCAGAATGCAACGTCACAAATTAGCAGGCGCTGCCTCGTTACCTAGCAACCCCAGCAGAGCTCCAGCCCGTTGCCTAGCAACCCAGGTGGGATTTCAGCACTACTGTAAGCACTGAAAGAGTGTTTGCTTTAACACAAAACTGTTAAGTTAGTTCAATTAACTTCTCTTTTGTCAATCTGAAGTGATTTGAAGTAGTTGGGTTAACTCGTTAATTTTCTTAGTTAAACATAAAATCATAATGTTAGATTGCTATATCTCTTTTGCTTTCAATTAACATAGTACAATTATGTGGAACCTGTTGAAATAAAAATAATTATGTTAAGTCAATGATTGATTTCTTTGAGTGTGCGTTGTACAATGGCTGCTGGAAGAAAAAAAGCAAGTGTTTTGTTGTTGGCTTACCATCCACAAACCACTTGCTGCATTCTTCTTGGTTGTGCAGGAGGCTCCACTTCTGCTTTTCAAGAATGTACGATTGTTTAGTTGTGCGTTGTTGGCAGCCATTTGTAAATGTTGATTTTGGGGGCGTGGTCATCAGCAGCTTATTTGGATTTAAAGTGACAGAGACCCTAAAACAGTTCAAAACTAAAATCTAATTATCTAAGAATGATTTTTATGAACATGTAGCCTAGCCTGTTCAAAAACCACAATAGGTCACCTTTAGCATCCTTCACTATGTAGTATAGTTGATTAAATCACTTCAAATAGTGTTTTACTACAGATTACATAGATTTTTATCATTTTGTCAGCTAAAGATGTGTCCGATTTGCTTCCATATGATTCCCAGCCCGAACCGACGTCCCCGGTCATCTCCCCGCACCAGTCTCCCCCCACGTCCCCTCACTCTTGGAGAAAGCACAAACGGCAACACAGCGGAGGGAACGCAGACAGGCAACAAGTGGTGGCTGCAACCGGAGCTGTGTGGACGCAGTTCAGAGAACCACAAACAGGTGACGGCCACAGAACTCCGTCTTCAGCCGCCTGTGTGTTAATCTGAGCGTGGGAGGATTTTTCTTTTTTTTAAACGTCCTTTCCTGTGGTTCCTCCCTGCCAGGGCCAGTGACCGGTGATGGCATGTGGTCGTCTCACTCGCCCCCTCCTCCGCTTCCCCCAAGCCAGGAAAGCTGGGTCAGTTTCACAGCAGACACCCCGCCCTCCAGTACGCTCCCAGCAATGCACCCGTCATCGGTCCAGGTAGTGCAGCAGCGCGAGACACGCCACTCATCTGACAGACCCAGCCGTCACTTTACATGATGTTGGGATCCTTCAATGTTGTTTAAATCTGTGTAGAAATCGTCTCTGAGAAGATTTGGAACCCAGTCAGCCTATAACTAGCTTCATTGTGTTAAAAAAACAAACAAAACTCTGTTTTGACTCTTTAAAAATAGCACTGTATCCATAGCTAATGTTTTTTTTATTGTCATGTTTTTAATTTATTTTGCATATTATTACAATGTTATTACTATCTCACCTCCTAATATCCGTTAGATATATTGTTTAGAAAAAATAAAATTCAAATTAGCTCATGCTATGATGCAGGCAAACAGGACTGCTGTTATATTGAGTTTATCTTACTGTGTATCTAATGAATAAATAGGTACAAGTGCATAAATTAATTCAATTTAAGGCCTTAAAATGTAATTTGGCCTTAAGTATATCTTACATTTTGTTGTGGCAGGTCTATTTAATTTTATATACATTATGTAGTATGTAAGTTTGAGTTGTGTTCACACTTTTTATTTATTTTTCTTAAGTCTTATCTCCATAGAGACATTAACCAATATTAACGCATATAGTATTGTTTTTCAATATTGTGCAGCCCTACTGGGTTTTCTCTATATATAGAAAACTAAATGAATTCTATTAAATAATTTTTATTTGTATATTTGAACAAAGTCTCTATATGAAAGGGTTTTTGTATTGTGTAATTTTATCTGTAAAGGCAAAATGTCTTTAATAATTATAAAACAAATCAAAATAGATCTCTAGTAAAATCCAAATCCTTCCAGAACTTTTTGTTCATTGGAAAATAAAATAAAGTAAAGAAAGAATATTTGTTTCTTGAACCACAACACACGTTTAAAACCAACTGATATCCAACCAGGACCGTTGTGTCCTTTTATCTTTTTTCTATTCGTATTTAAAACCTGATCACTGTAGGAATAATTTCCATAAATTCATAAGACAAAGCAGAGAAATTTGAATCTAAAAATGCAATATCCACAGAGAAATGTATAGGAACTCTTGATATAAAATGTATATGAAACTAAAATATCTGCAGATATAGTGATGCAGCTCAGACGTCTTCCATCAGATTAGCCGGCGGCAGCAGTTGCTGCAAACATAAAGCAAGAGAAATGCAAACCACAGTTGTGCCTTTAAAGATCAGTCAGCGTTTTCTGGCTCTGCCTTGTCAGCCGGCGCTGCTGAACTGAGACTTCAGCAGCTATTTTAACTCTTCAAATAAAAGCTTGCGTCTAATTTTAGGCAGACTTCACTTCTATTTTAGTTTTTGAGACATAAAAAAACATCTCCATGTTTCAAGGCACTGACACTTTATTGAAATTTCTCTTCAGTGTTGACTTTAAAATAAAAAGTTTTTGCTGGTTTTTAACTACAGTTGTCGCCTATAGGAAAGCACAACGATACGAACCGTGGCCTCGGCTGCGACGACCAACGAGATCCAGCGACAGTCCAGCGGCTACGACGATCCCTGGAAAATCACAGACGAGCAGAGACAGTATTACATCAACCAGTTCAAAACTATTCAACCAGACCTCACTGGCTTAATACCTGGTAGGGAAAAACATATAAACTCTCAAATAAAGTTTGTTACAGAGCCCCATAGGGGACATGGAGGACTTTTTCTTTTGTGTTAATTCTCAATACTTTTGCCTTCTCTGCCTTCTCTCTCTCAATACTTTTCTGTTCTCTCAGTAGTTTTGCATTCTCTCTCTCAATACTTTTGCCTTCTCTCCCAGTAATGTCCTGATCGGTTCATGCTGCATAGTTGAATACTGAAAGTCTTATGGTGGCCACCGTAATCTCTGCTAGATTTTTCCATCTACGTTATCTTGTTTGTGAAATATCTGAAGTTTTATATATTTTCCTTTAGGGTAGAAATTCACCACACACTTATGATATAAACAGAAACTTTCTGTAAGAAGGAAAGAAATAAAAACAATACATCCAAACTATTTGGACTATTTCTGAGTTATTTTCGTGGAGTAATAGTCATCTGACAGTTTTTATTGTGTCTTTTTGTGTTGGTCGTCTGAATGGTTACTAATGCTCAACCTTACACAAACAGACATAAACATGCAGTTTATTAATTGATTTTCAGTCAGTATTTTGCACCAAACAGTTAAGAATATATAAACACGTTTTCATTGAGGCGCTTTCAATGTGTATTTATTTGAAATTTTATATTGACATTTGTGACCCTGTGTCCCTTATGGGGCTCCGTAGGTTGTAACAAAAAAAGTGTTTTAAACGTCACTTTTTGTGTGTTTCAGGCTCAGCCGCGAAAGAGTTCTTCACTAAATCAAAGCTACCGATTTTAGAGCTATCACACATTTGGTGAGTTATCGTTATTGCTGATGCTTCCTGCAGCATTGCACTCAACCTCAGGGCCCTAAAACCGAAAAGCCTTTTTCCTGTTATTTGAAGGGAGCTGTCGGACTTCGATAAAGACGGAGCTCTGACCCTGGACGAGTTCTGCGCGGCCTTTCACCTCGTCGTGGCCAGAAAAAACGGCTACGACCTTCCAGAGAAACTTCCAGAGAGCCTCATGCCGAAGCTGATTGATCTGGATGACTCAGCAGGTTTGCTCATATTCTGCTGACTCGTCTGTTTAAGCTGATGTGCATTTTTATAAGCAAAGACTCGATGAAATGCTAAGGCAAGGGTGTCCAAATTTTTTACCAAGTGAGCCAAAGTTGTCGACTCAAAAGTAGTCGCGGGCCGAAAAAGCAACATAAAATCAAGCGAATAAAATGGCTTTCTATATTTGGAGTTATTGGAAATCCAAATATAGAAAGTGATTTTTACATATTAGGGCCATTGCAGATAAGAAAAAAGGAGTAAAATTCCATCAAAATGCAGAAATTTTATGAGTCAGAAATTTTCTAGAAAATATTTCATTTGAAATTCAGAAATGTCCATGTTTTTTTCTTTTTTTAGACAATTTCTTAGTCTAAACAAAATTCTAGAAAAAAAGAAGTAAATTTATGTCAAAAAGCAAAAATTTTGTGCGTAATCTGAGAAATGTTCTAGAAAATTTCTAAATTTCATTTGAAATTCAGAAATGTCCATGTTTTTTTCTTTTTTAATTCTTGATATTAATCTATGAAAGTTTTTAACTAAAAAAAATTTCTAAGATTGAGTTTTTTGGCTTAAATCAACTATTTACTACTACTTTTGCCTATTTGCTGTATTAGAAGAAACATTTAGTTTTGATGGAATAAATTTACCTTCAGTAATAAGAACAGGATTTGGGTCACTTTCCTTCACAACACTTGCTGCGTTGATTTTAACTTTTGTTAAAACTTGGTTATAAAAAGACAAATACTTTGTGTTGTACTTTACATTTCCCTGTGTAAGAAACTTATGTTGATAATAATTTTCACCCTGATTTCAAATTAAAAGTCTCCATCTGCATCGACGAGCCAACTTTGTATCATTTTTGATTTGTGGTTGTGGGCCGCAAAAAATCAGTCCAAGGGCCACAAATGGCCCCCGGACCGCACTTTGGCCACCTCTGTGCTAAGAGATTAAAGGAGCCCCTTTCATTTGTATTAAAGAAATTCTTGAAAACAAAAGCCAGCGGTGTTGTGTTGTTACTTGAATCGAATTCTAGTTTGTAGCGGACTACAGCGCAAGGCATTCTGGGTAAATACAACCAAAACTGCCTAGCCCAGCACAAAGGGGAGAAATGCCTCATGGATTTTTTTTTTTTTTTAAATCAAAACAGAAATCATACAACCGCTACAATTTGAACCTACTCCATTTTTGTTTACATTTTGTGAAGAAGGAAGTTGCGCTTGTTTTCATGTCGTTTTCTTCAGTAGTTCTTTGTGCAGCGCCCCCACAGGCAAGGAGGGGAACAGGTTTTTAAATTAGTTTGGGACTCAATGCAGAGTGAAAACGAACAGCAGCAGCTGAAAATGTAACAAATGTAACTTTACTTGTACCTGTTGATGACCTAAATATGTGATTCAGTGTTTTGTTGGTAGCTGGAGTTTAGATTTTATAGCTATTTATGATTTTATTCATATGAAGGACAAGGAAGACAGAAACCTCCGTTTTATGTGATTTGTTTTATAAGTTAAATGTTTTAAAGACTTAAATTGTCTTGCTGTATCCCAGGAAATGAGGGTTTTAATTTCATCGAGTTTTTCTCCTCCTGGTTTTTTTGTGTCCAGAAGTTCCTGAGCCGGCGGATGAAGTCGGGTACTCGGCTTCGCCGGTGGAGGTCACCCCCAACAAATCGCCCTCCATGCCTTCGCTCAACCAGGCCTGGCCAGAGATGAACCAGAGCAACGAGGTTCAACCATCACACCTCTGCATTTTTACACTTTTAAACTCAAACCTCTGTTTGCTCTTTGCTTGGTTTGCATTTGATTCATCCTAATTGCTCAAGATTTCATCTCTTCTTCCTCATCATTAAACATAATTATTGCTAATTCAGCACCTCTTCCCGCCCTCTTTGGGACCGTGACGGTAGTTTAGCCTCCACAGTCGCGCCCAAACTCGAGGATTTTTCAATAAAAGTGTGATGTCACTGTTTCCGGCTGACTGACATGTTTGTTGTTTTTTTTTTTCTTGCTGTCTGTCTCCTGCAGCAGTGGGAGACGTTTAGCGAGCGCTCCTCCAGCTCACAAACTCTGACCCAATTTGACTCTAACATTGCACCAGCTGACCCTGTAAGTCAATCACTTGGCATGCACGGTTTCACAGAGTAATGCACAGACATTAACCCTTCCTGGATCTTTTTCTGTCTGTATCATCCTCTCTGCACATGTTGATTTCTGATTCAACTTCTGCAGGAAATCGGCTTGTTTTCCTCCAGCAAACCGGATATTCCTTAAATACTTAAAAAATAAATCTTGTGCTCGAACATTGATGCTCGTAAAATTACACTTTGCGTCTGAAATGGTTGTTATAATCGACTAAATTGAAACAAACTGCCTGTTTTAGCCTGGAGTTCATTATGTGGATGCGTGTCTTTCAGGACACAGCCATCGTCCACCCAGTTCCCATCCGGATGACTCCTAGTAAGATTCACATGCAGGAGATGGAGCTGAAGAGGACGGGCAGCGGTACGACTGTTTTCTGGCTTCTGGTTTTGTTTCCCTGCTTTCCAAAGATAAAATTGTGATTAAATGTACATTTTCTGGCTCAAGTTTGAAGCTTTTTCAATGGAGGAAATGGTTTTGAAGGCTCTTTTTTTGGGGATTGGTGGTCACAGTTCAGGTATTATTTGGACACGTTGTTGCCACGGTTACATGTGACAGCTGTCCAAAAGTAAAAAAAGAAAAGAAGCAAAAATCCTTAAAGTTGCACATCTGCAACTAGAGTGAATAATTGCTCCAAAAAGCAATGCAGCAACTAGAAAAGTTAGGAGCAAATTATGATGCTGCTCTGCCGCGATGCTGCCTTTCTTTACTATAGAGACTTGAACTCTGACCTTAACTGAGGAAAGTGAAACTTGCCAAGAAACATCTAAACAGATGTTAATAATTTTCTCATGTGTATTAAATTTAATCAGACATTAGCTTTAATATTTTTGCTTATTTGACCTAATTCCTTATCCATCCGTCTAAACATTTGTGTTTGACAAAAACAGAACAAAAGAGAGCAAATACTACTTATTTTCTGTTGACTTTTCTTTGTATTTTTCCAGATCACAATCATCCTACCAGTCCGCTGCTGGCAAAACCCCCAGAACTGTCCGAAGAAACCAAACTGCCTCCTTCCATGAAGTTTGTAGCTGCCAACACCGTCGGTAAGTGGCCAAAAGGTGGCGCTAAAGCTCCTCAGGAAGGATCCAGACTTTAGAGAGAAATTAAGAGAGGCAACTTTTATTTCTTAATGTTTTAGTCATTATTCTTAATCTGACTAATTAATTGTAGTTCTGGTTAAAAATTGTACTTTATGGGCTTGTTGAGTCATTTTAACTAGAGGTGAAAACATTGATGACAAATCTGGTTAAAATCAAAACAGATTTGTGGATTTAACTAAATTTAGTCGTCCAAAAAGAAGTCAAACAGATTAAAAAATTATTTATTTATACTGAAACTACGATTAACAACACAGATTAACTCTATTTACTAATTATGGGATTGAAAAGTCAAACTGGTTTTGAAACAAAGGGATCAGTGGTGTGGTTATTTATTGTTTTTCAGGGTTTGTGCAGGTGCTTAAAATCCTTAAAAATGCTTGAATTAGGTATTTTCAAGGTTTGGAAAGTGCTTGATATTCACATATTTTGTAACAAAGTGAAATCTATTGTTTGATTAAAGACCTAAACTACATATTTTCATTCACCTAATAAGAAAGACATTTTTTTCTCACTGTCTAAGTTTAAATGAAACTAAACTTGTTTTAGGTCAATAAAAATCAACAAAATTATTTCTATTTACTAAATGCCAGAAAATATGGTGAGAAAATTTTTTAGAGATTTTTTTTTTACTTTTTCTGTATATTCTGTTTTTAATTTGATCATTCATTTGTTTTGATTGTTTCATGAGTTACTCGTTTTAACATTTGAAATAAAAGGTCGACTTATATTTTATATGTTATTAAAATTGTTTTTTTTTGTTAGTGTTTTTGTTCTCATCAGTCTGCAGGGTTTGTCAGACGTTTCAGAAAATGACATTTTGCTGCGTTTTAGTTACTTTATACCATCACAAGACATCATTAATAACAGTAATAAATCATAAAAGTTGAAACTCTTGTTTCCTGTGAGAAACGTGTTTTACTGATTATTATTTTCCTCTTTTATAGGTGATGGTTACAGCAGCTCCGACTCGTTCACGTCGGATCAGGAGCCAATCACCAGGCAAAGGTTTGTTTTTCTTATTTTATAGCTAAGAACAAAACTTTCAGTTATTCTCTGTCATTTACAATAATTTAATTTTGTTGGCATAATTTCACACAAGTAATTTAGCAAAATCTCATCTGTAATTGTCAATAAATACATTTATTTAGAGGTGGGAGAGAATAATTTAGAGGGTTAGTATCACTTATGGACCTCAAGTAAGGCTGTATTTCTGGTTTCTGTTTGGATTGGTGCTAGTTGAAGGATAAGATGTAAATATTTTATCCCTTAAGTGAGCTGTTTGCGTTCAGGTCTCAGTCGGGTGCGTCTCCAGACGCGCTGAAGGCCGTAGCCCCACCCCCTCCGCCTCCTCGCCCCCAGCAGTCCCACTCTCGCTCGTCGTCTTTGGACATGAATCGCACCTTCGCTGCCCCGGCAGCACCAGGCCAGCCCCAGCCGTCTGCGATCGCGTTTCCTCCTGCGGTGCCGCCTCGACCACTGCCCACACAGGTAACGGCGCTGAAAGACCAAAAACAAACTGGTTTTACTTCCTGCTAACGTTACAAAAGCCTCTGCTGATCCATTTCCTGTCCCGCCCGCTTGCAGTCGTCGGTACCGCTCACTGGGCATCGTGTGGAGGCAGAGGGTGTCCCTGCAGGGGGCGCTGGTCTCACCACCACCTCCCCGCAGCAGATTCCTCAGCAGCCCAACTTCGCCGACTTCAGCCAGTTTCAGGCGTTTGCTGCGTCTGAGCAGCCGTCCAGCCTGCCGGACATCGACAAGCACAGCGAGGCAGGACAGGTACGCTCGCACCTGGCTGCAACTATTCTGGTTCTTTGCTTTGTTGTGAAAATGTTTTAAGTAGTGTTTCAATTTCCTCTGTAATTACTGAAAGTACTGATTTTGTTGTGTTTGCACCAACAGGCAGACAAGATATCAGAGGGAGCCGGCCCTTTAAGAGCAGTGAAAAGTGACGGCCCAGCAGATGAGAGAACATCGGCTACAGTCAACTCTGTAAGTCGATTCTTAAACTCTATGCAGCGTCTTACTAAAGTAATTTTATCAGAAACAATGAATTTTATGTGATGGATGAGATGTTTATAACATAAAGGAGCCATTTTGCTCCAAGGAGGCCAAATACTCTATCTAGATAGGTAGATAGCTACAAAGATGAATGGATAAATAGATAATTTGATAGATAATTTAGCTAGATAGGTAGCTAGTTATCTGTCTCTCTCTCTCTATCGATCTGTCGAGATCTGTCCATCTACCTATATTTATCTATCTAGTCTATCTGTCTAAATAGATATGTCTATATATATATATATATATATATATATATATATATATATATATATATATATATATATACACATACACACACACACACATCAGTTGCATTGTACAATGGCTGCTGGAAAAAAAACTTGAGTTTTGTTGTTGATTTACCATCCAGAAACAACTTGCTGCATTCTTGTTGGTTGTGCAGGAGGCTCCACTTCTGCTTTTCAAAGATGTATGGTTGTATAGTTGTGCATCTTTTTGCAGCCATTTTCAGATACGGGCGTAAATGAAACATTTTTGGCGTGGCCAACAGCAGCTTATTTTGATTAAAGTGACAGAGGCTCTAAAACAGCTCAGTGAGCAGAATAAAATCTCATCATCTAAGAAGAATTTCGTAATCAACATGTTTTGTATACATAATCAATTACCTATAAAGTTCAAATAAAAGCTACTTACACTGTTGTGTGTATTTGATTTAAGACACAGTGCTTTAACTAGACCGTTAATGCCAGTCAGTGACGGTGCTTTATTCTCCCTAAAGGCCAAGGGTTCGTCGGGCCCTCTGGCTCCGCCACCAAAGCCCGTTCGGCGGCGGTTGAAGTCTGAGGACGAGCTCCGACCCGAAGACGAGCAGATCGGACCCCAGAAAGCCGGCGCCATCGCTGCGCCCCTCACCTCTCAGCCCTCCATCCCCAGGTCTGAACCCTCCGTCTGATAAAAGGCTTCCAGTGCTGCAGCTTGGAAAGTTTAGTGGAAGAAAAAAAAACAAAATTTTCTGTATTTTTAGATCGATTGGAAAGGACAAAAAGGCAATTCAAGCTTCCATCAGAAGAAACAAGGAGACAAACACAGTATTGGCTCGACTCAACAGTGAACTACAGCAACAACTGAAGGTAAAAACATTACAAAAAATAACTGGGTGATCAATTTTCCAACAAATTATTTGATAAGCAATAATATAGTCATTTTGAGACTGTTGTCATGAAGCGTTATTCGGTAAATAAATACACTTTTAATGCGACTTTGCATTAAAAGTGTATTTATTTACTAAATAATACAAAGTTGAGATTTTTAATGGACATTTAAAGCAAATTTTAGTGCAGCTTTACATTAAAGGTGCCTTATTTACCCAACGATGCTTCATGACAACAGTTGTAATCTGGTTTATGTTCTTAACTTGTTATATCACGTTTATTACAGTGTCGTCAGTCTTATTCACACCCTTTCTAATAAAGTGTTGCCGACATTTTAAACGTCTAAAATAAATAAAACGAGTGAAACTGATTATGAAATCTCAACAAAACAAGGCTTCTGGTAAAACTGCCAGTTAGGACTTCTGCAACGAAAAGTTTCCAAAATGGCGGCTTTTCAGTCATAATGAGCGTTATTACTGATGCGAATCCAAAAACATCTTTCTTTAGTGTCTTCACTGCTTGTTGTGGTGATCCTAAGTGTTTGCTGATTCCTGTCGATGTTTCCAGGATCTGCTGGAGGAGAGGATATCCCTGGAAGTGCAGCTGGAGCAGCTCCGGCCTTTCTCCCACCTCTAGCCGAACACGCGGAGCAGAACTCGGCCGTAGCTCCTCGGCTCTCCTTCCCTCCGCTCCTCTCGCCTTCCATCATCATTTCCCCGGTCGGAGGCCGCCGGGCTTCCCGTTAAACGAAACCCTCTCCCTCTGATCTGTCGCACAGTCTTAGCAACAAATGGAGAAGAGAGGAGCAGATTTCACCACCCGGCACTTTTCACATCTCTTTTGTTTTTTTGTTTTTCTTCTTTGTTTTTCTGAAGAGGATGACGGAAAAACGGCGAAACGTGAAGACGAAACACCTGGTTTCTGACGATGGAAAAGCCGTCTTCAGGAACAAATCGTTGTGTTGGTGTGACTGGTTTTGTTTTTGTTCCTCTTAAAGCGGCTTAATTAGAGGCTCGCACCACTAAGTCCAAATTTCCGTTGAAAATTTGGTTAATTTAAGGAAACAAAAACATTTGTTTACCTTTTGAGGGAAACGGTAAAAAATAAATAAATCTGGTCAGTAATGTTCAGAAATAGTTTAAAATCTGATCCATTTTATTCTAAATAAAATAAAACTTTGACCAAAGAAAAAAAATAAAGTTGGAGTAAGGTTCTGTGGAAACACCATAAGCAGTTAATATCTTACCGTCGGTAGATAACTCTCTTGGCGTCTTCATTTAGTATAAATCTGGATTAGCTACTAGCATTTTAACACTTAAAAATGCTATTTTTATTTCCTTTTACCAGTCGTCGGGTTTACATTTCACGGTTATTTACACAGAAATGGGTGTTAATTCACAAAACAAATCCATGTTGGAGGTGGTGCGCCACCAATAGTCTTCCTATGTGTAACACGCTCTGAAAATGCAACATGTAATTTATTACCAGTCAGAGAAACTGTCTGTAACTAAGCTGCATTAACTAGCAAGATAATATATCAGTTTGAGTTGATGCAGTTTTATTTTAGGTAACGAAATTAACCACAAATGCTTTACATGTTCTGTTCTCGGGGAAGATAATAGGTGACGGACTGCCTCCAACATCAATTTTCTACTTGACAAATTTAGAGGTTCAGAAAATAGTTTTTGATAAAACAGCTCCAACTAATCTGCATTTACCCTAAATAAAGACACAAAGAGAGTCGGCTGCAGCCTGTAAGATATAAAATACTCGCATTGTTTTAACTGAACTTCACTTCAAAAAATCCAAAATAATTATTTTAAACACACCTGCTGTAGATTTAGGCAGAATTAAAAGAGAACTGACTGTTTTTAAATAAAGACTGAAAATTGGACCGCCCAAAGTTTCTCTTATTGCTTTTTCATCAAATTAACAAATGTGGTGTGAGCAGCTTTGTATTTGATTTATAAGAACCGAATAAAAGAAGGTTTCCCAAGCGAGCTGGTTTCTACGACAGCGTGTCAGGGTCACTGTAGATGGAACAAAAAAAGGAGTGAATTTTCACCAAGAAATCTCAGAAAATTTCTAGAAGGACAGAAAAGTTTGAATTTGCTTGAAAAAAACCCTGAAAGTTTGAGATTAATCTCAGAAATTTTCTTGAAAAAACGTGGAAATTTCTAAGTTTCGAAAGTCAAAAATGGAGTTGTGAAACTCAGAAAATTTCCAAAAATCACAAATTAAAAATTTTTTAATCTCAAAATTTGAGTTGTTTTTTTTTTTTTTCCATCAAGTTTTCAAACTTTTTTTTCTTTACTCCTGTATTTTTTTCTATCTACAGCGGCGCTGAAACACTTCTGTAAATGTGAGAGAGGAAAGCTGCATCTCATCCTGTGATTATAAATTCAGTCCTTCCTGCTGCTGCCAGTCAGCTCTACGTATATGTGTGTGTGTGTGTGTGTGTGTGTGTGTGTGTGTTTTCCCTTCGTGTTTTCAGGTTTGTTGTGACTGAATGCTTCGACTCTTGAAGACTGAACTGTTGCTCCTTCATTTCTTCTGTTTTGAAGGCGAGAACTGCACATCCTCTTCTTTGTTCATATTTTTTTGTTTTCTATCTAAAACATTTCAGCTTTTTTATTATTTTTCTCCTCAAGCTGCAGGTTTTTGGGAAGTCGTTTATAGCAGGACCAGACATTCTGTTTTGAAGATTTTTTATTTTATTTTTTGGTTTATGAAGAAACGCGTTCGCAGATCTGATTGGGAGTCGAGTCGTGTTTGTAAAATAGACGTAAAATAAAAATGAGCTGTTTTCCAATCGGGCGAAGCAGCGCTATGCAACTATGTGTGAATCATTTCCACAGAGCGACTTTAGCTGTTTGTTCTCCGGTCGTAGCAGCTGTGTGACCCGGTTTTGTATCGTAGCTCTTCCAGAACTCCATCTGCTGTATGTTTGTGGTATTTGTCTGCCTTTTTCTGTTGGTACTGATGAGCTTCCTTCCTCACTGTGTTCCTCGGCTCCAGAGGAGAATTAATTTTATTTTTTTCTGTGAAATGTGACCCTTTCCTGGTGGAGACCAGTTGGCCATATGGGAGACCTGAACGACCAAAATGCACTTTGAACTCATCCACTTTGATTTAGATTTATTTCTAACCAGCTTCTTCTTGTCTTTATTTTTTTTTTTAAACTTGGAGCGTTCTGAAATGTCTCATTTTCTGAATGTTTTGTAGGTGAAGCATTGTTTTCTAAAGCCTTACTCGCCCTGATTGGATTGGTGTTCAGGTTTCCATAGCGACTGATTGAGCTCTCGTTCTTTTTTTTGTTTTTTCCTCCTGCTGTTGTGGATGATGGTGTACTTCTCGTGTGTGTTTGTGCGCGCGCATCATTTGGAAACCGGATTAAAAACCTTCCAGGAATATTTAATGTTTGCTCGCACAACGGCTCCCTCCTCGTTCAACCCAAAAACAAAAAGCAAAATAAAAAAAGGCAATCCAGACAGGCAGAAGCAATCAGTCTCATATGAAGTCTGTGAACTTTCAGATGCCATTTTCTCCCCAGATCTGTGTTGTATATTGTATATGATACACACTTTTGGACTCATGTAAATTTGCATTAATTGCTGGCTAACGGCAGAAGAATATTCTATTTAATTCCTTCTCTCTTGGCTGTGGGATCCTAGATGTTTAACTGCATGGATGTACTGTATCTCTGCAGAATTAACTAGCAGCTGTGTGATTTTTACACAAAAATAAAAAACGGCACAATATTTTAAACATGGCTCCTTCTGATCATTTGTTGCATCATCCAGAAATTTTGAGGACAATTGCAAGCTGCTGATTTAAATTATGGCGTCTTTCTCAGAATGGGAAGAGGCAAATTTTTGACCTGGAAAATTCAAAATTCACGACTTTTCAAACTCATTGATTTTTCTATAAAATCTCTGAGAAAAGAAAATTCTCAAAATTTTATTTTGTTTTTCTGGCAATTTTTTTACTTGTAAAATTCAGAACTTTCTATGTTCTAGAAAATTTCAGGAATCTCAAAAGTTTAAGTTTTCCTGTCAATTTTTGAGTTTTTTTCTAGAAAATTTCACAAATTAAGCTAAATTTGTGCTTTTCTGGCATTTTTTTTTACTTTTCAAGCTCAATTTTTATTTTTCTAGATTTTGTTGAAATCTACCAAATTTTAAACTTCTCAAATAAAAATTCTAGAACATTTCTGAAATGAAGCTCAATTTGAGCTTCTCTAGCAAATTGCTGTTTTTTTTTAAACTCAGAAAATTCCTTTTTTTCTAGAAAGTTTGAGATAAATCTCAATTTTTTTCCTACAAATTTTCAGACTCAACTTTTTTTAAAATTTGAGATCTCAAATTTTGAGATTTTCTAGCAAATTTCCAACATTTCAAACTCAAAATAACTTTTTTTTCCTATAGAAAATTTCTGTGCTTAATTCTGAAATTTGAGTTTTTTGGAGAAAATTCGTTTTTTTTTTCTATCTACAATTGGCCTAATTTCCAGTGACAAAAACTTAACTTTTTTCTTTTGCTTTAATCCAGTGGCTGAAAATTTGTCATTCCTCTTAAATATTAAATGCTTTTGCTAAGAATCTGTTCAGAGAAGCAGAAACCATGTCAAAAACCAAATATGTTTTAGCACATTTTATTAAATGTCTTTATTGCTATCTTAAGAGCAGCTGAAAAGAAATCACTTAAAATTTTTAATCTGAAATTACTGAGTTAACTCACAAAAGTAACCACTTCGTCCTTTTTTAGAAACCTATCTGAGCACAGTAGCAATAAAGATCTGGAGCTTTTTCACAAAACCTTGATTAAGATGCGATTTTTCATTCATTCATAAAAGCAGTGATGCACTCAGCATCTCTAAACTACTCACCAGATAAGGTTATTTAAAATATTTAATCTTTCCATCCAGTGCTGTGCAATTCTTTTCATTTATTTAGCATCAAAATGCAGTAAAATGGCAATTAATTAAGAAATCAGACCCAGCTTCTCCTCTTATCCTGCATTTCTGTTTTTGTGAAACAGCCCCCAGATTTATACAAAGTCTCTAAAACACATGAACAGCAGAAGTAAATATGGACATTTATGTCCTACTAACACAGAAAGTATTGGCACGAAACACTTACTGTAGCATGGGCCTTGCTAGCTAGCATAAAATGTAAGGCCTTCCTGGATGTAGGAGGGACTACAGATAAACGTAGGACTGTTTTCTACTGAACATCTTCTCTTACAGCAGGACTAATGATACCGTAAACCTTACAGGTTTTACGTTGTCTTTCATTTTTATTTTTTGCAAAAGCAGGACTGGAAGAGGAAGCTTGGGATCGGAGCGTTAGCTTTGGGAGCGTTAGCTTCCAGGTGTGTTTCCATGGATTCAGAGCGTTTTTCTCGTCGAAGATCCAGGCAGGTAGGAATGCAGCTGAAACTTATTTAGCGAGACTGAAAAAACGAAATGAAGAGAGATTAGAATTTTACAGGTGTGGATTTTCCATTTACTTTATAAAAAAATAACATGTTGGTCAAGTCACGCCACTCACACGCTGGTTGCTTTGTAGCGGTCCAGCGCTTTCTGAGCCACCTCCTCGGAGAACTTCGGGTCGGTCCAGGGAATGTCGCCGCGCACGGTGACGTTCATGGGCGGAGAGTCAAACAGTTGCACGGTCACTTTGGTGTCAGCATCCTTCGTCTTTCCGCCTTGCCTCTCCTCAGTGTCGCCTTTGGAGATCACCTGCAGCACCAACAGAGCAAGGTGACATCTGGCTTTTCTTGTTTTTATCTTTACTGCAGATGAAACATGAGGCAGTTACCTCACCAATCAACTGGGAATATAATGAAATAGTGACTCAGGCAGAAAAAGACGGATTCGTGGTGCAGATTGGATTCAACTGGTGAACAAAATTGCAACCTTTGTTAAATTTTCAGCTGCACTGTGTCAAACCATCCAAACTCAGAAAATCCTGTTGCCCTCCTCACCTGTAGGGCGCGCTGCACCAAGAACTACTCAAGGAAACGACACAAAAATCTCAGAAGACATGCACACATTTGTCTTTGTAAAAAGTAAAAAAAAAAAAAAAAAAAAAAAGGTTTTTAGGGGTTGTACGTCTTCGGCAAAAAACCACGAGCCATTTCTCCCGATAGCATTAGGCTAGCGCATTTATTTTGTTTGAATTTACCCAGAATGCCTTGCGCTGTAGTCCGCTGCCTGCTTTTGGAGCTTTCTCTGGTCCCAAACAAACTAGAACTTGACTTAAGTGGGCTAAACAGGCTGGTGTGAATGCTTCTTTAATGATAGAGCTGAACAAATCAATCAATAACGATATATATGGCTATTGGCATGTGACCAATTTCAGTAGATAATACGTCTGATAGTATTTTCAATAATTTCACTGAACTCTGATCCAGAATTTGCGCAGCATTCTCAGCATAGCTTAGCTAAGCAAAGTTGGTGGAATTAACTTTGGTTACCTAGCAACAACTTGTGGTTACCTAGCAACAACTTGTTGAGTAACATGCAGAGTGGCAGTTTAAGATTCCACCACTGTGGCTCATAACTGCTTTAAAATAAACATGGAATGAAAACTGGAAAAAACAGGAAATATTACACCACTAACTTGGGAGTATTTTACATATTTAAAACAAAAAAAACAAAGTATTGTCTTATAAACATTGACTGACATGAAAGGCTTATATGGTGATGCATTTTTCAGCCATGTTGTCCTGCTTGATGAAGCATCAGAAAGCTCCATACCCCCTTCACGCTGAAGATGCCGTCCTTGGTGTTGTTTGCCAGGGAGGACACCCAGCCGAACTGCCTGTTAAGCATGTCGAGGAGGGAGGAGGTGTTGAACACGCGCTCCTCGAACCTCTTCAGGAGGGAGTTGTACTGCTGCGTGAAACGTTCGGCCATGGCCAGCGCCTCCTCCAGCTCCTCCTTCAGCGGGCCCTCCAGGGGTCTGTTCCCAGAGCAGTCTGTGAGAGGATAAACAGGAAAAAATCAGCCAAAAACCATGGAAATTATTGGAGTTTTATTAAACCCTTTGTGAATTTTACTGATTTAAAACGAGATCCAGATGAGAAAACTGTTTTAGCTGCTGTTTATTATTGTAAATTTGTAGGAGTACTGATTTTGAGAATAGATTTCTATTTTTATTAAGTTTAGAAAAGGAAAGGCTTACATGGGCGGTGGCCCAGAGCGTCAATTCTTTTGGGCTGGACCCCACAGAATTTTTTTATTTTACTAAATTCCTCTTTTACAAAATTGCATATGGGAACTTTTAAAGGTATTTTAATGTGAATTTTATCCTATGCCTTTGTACTGTTTTATAATTTCTATAGTGTTGCTAATGTGCACCTTGATCTTCCTATGAAATTTTCCTTTCCCACCAAGTCATTATTGTAAATAAGAGTTTGTTAAAACTAACTCTCCTAGTTAAATAAATTATAAGAAGGAGTCATAGAACCATATCAGGTGAGTTGTAAAAGCATTTTGGGATTTTTGTGAATATAAACATTGAAATATTTAAAAATTATAAACTTGCACTAATTTTTTGAGTTCCTCCCCAGGACATAATTTGAGCGTACCATTATTAGTTAGTTTCATCAGTTTATATGTATAGAACCACCTATTAATGTATTGTAATTTGCATTTGTAATATTTTTTTCTTTAGTGGGTAGGGCACCAAAACGGTTTCCAGCCCAGGGCCCACATCCTTGTAAATCCGGCCCTGCTCAGGACCACAAATCCTAATTTTTGTGTTTTAACTTAAACACAAGTCATATTCAGCTCTAATTTCTGATTATTTAATGCAGATATTCCGATCTATTTACAGGTGTATTAAAAGTTTTGTCGTTTTCTCACCCAGATGCTGGATCTCTTTGCATTTCTCGCATTCGTTGCGGAACTTGATGCAGCCGGCCGAGTTGCGTCGGATCTCCCTGCAGGTCATCTTGCCGTTGCCGAAGGGCCTCGTGATAATCACGTCCTCGTTTACGTTGCCGTCTGCAGCCAACAAACGCAGGGCAGATTTTAAAATGTCAGCAGTAAAGCTCAGCAACCTGACTTTTCTTTCATATTAGATAAACTTCTGAAGCTGACAGTGCAGTAGATCAAAACAAATATAAATAATTTTCAAAAACTGGACGCTGCATGAACTAGTAGTAAAATATTTCACTAAATTTGAACAAGAAAACATAAAATGTGTATCTGACCTCCAATTTGAAGCTTCTTAGTCAAACTCATTTTAATTTTGAACCATATAAAGATCATGAAAGGTCTTAAAGGGCCGGTTGTGCAAAACCCATTTACTAACAGTTGAAATATCAATAACAGACACCCATAAACTTTGTTGAAATTCTTTCAAACATTTTAAAAGGAAGAACCACAAAAACACCTAAAATGTTGGAAGGTTGATTTATGAATCTTAAATAATAAAAAGTATCAATATCAGTATCGGCAATATTTGTTCCTGTATTTAGTTTGTATTATATCAACACCAAAATGTTAATAGTACAGATAAGCAGTTCATATTTATAATATAGCTATTTAGCTATTTATAGATGGCTAAATAGCTACTTGGCTGCCAGCTAAATAGATATATGTTTAACTAAAACTAATATTTAACTAATAGCTATTATATTTAGCTATTAGCTTTTTAGCTATCAACTATTTAAATACAGCTAAATAGCTATATAAGAAATAATGAAGGGTTTAGTTAAATATCTTTGTAATAATTCATGAAAACTGTAGAAATAGAATAAAACTAGATTAACAAAACAATTTTGTTTCAGTTTATAATATCATTGTCTGCATCCTTTTTTTATTTGAGTCCCTCCTACAGGAAAGCACATCGAAAACAATCTCTAGACCCTCCGTCCTTTCTGAGAACCAGCGTGTGAAAACGTACCTTCGTTTGGGGCGGCGTCGGAGTCCAGGTCCATCATAGAGTCCATCGGGCCGAACAGGTTCCTGCCCATTCCCATCATGGGGGAGAACAAGCTCCGGAAGTTGTGGAACGGATCGTGGAAAAGCAGGTGGATGCTTCTGGCGCGGCGAATGGCCGGAGCCAGGAAATTGGGAAAGAAGAAAACGGGAGGGTTGATGTGATCGGCAACCTGGAACGAACACAGGTTTTTGCTTAATTTTTGTGAATCTGGCAAATGCATTTCAGGTGAACTGAAACAAGGCTTCAATGGATTTCTTCTGACATGATCACAAATCTCTCCTGCACCTCTACACTGCAAAAACACAAAATCTTACAAAGTATTTTGTCTAGTTTCTGGTGCAAATATCTTAGTACACTTGAAATAAGAAAAACCTAACACATAAGTAACTTTCTGCAAGATGTAGGAGCTTGTTTAAGTAAAATTGTTTTAATATTGATTAAAAATTACTTGTTCCATCGGCAGATTATTTCACTTATAGCAAGACATTTTTATTATTTACTTAAAACAAGCTTCTGAATCTTGCTGAAAAGTTACTTTTTAGTTAGTTTAGTCGTTTTTCAAAAGTGTTCAGATATTTGCACAAGAAACAAAATTACTTGCTAAGATCAAATCTTCACTCAGTATCATTTCTTGTGTTTTTGTGGGAAAAGTTACATTTTACGTTTTTCCAAAAGGTGCCTGGGTGGAAAAAATTAAATTGTATAATTTTAATTTTAGCTAAATGTTCCTGGCAGAAATTTTTCTCCTCTATGTTTAACAATTTTCCTTCCCAAATATTCAGGATTCCAACTTTACTTTTACTTTACTTTTTTAAATTTATTTTAACTTTTTAAAATAAATTTTGAACATTTATTTTAAAAAATAAATTAGATAACAGTAAATTAGATAACAAAATTTGTACGTTTTTGCCAAACAAATAATTATAAACTCAAATGTTGAGATTGTCAGAAATTTTCTCGGAAGACAACCTGAAAATTCATGAACTTCAAAAGTCAAAAATTTGCAAGAAAAAAACTAAAAAAAACTTAGGTTAATGTCAGAAATTTTCTATAAAAAATTAATGTCTGAGTTTAGAAGTAAAAAAAATTAACTTTGAGTTTGAAAAGTCAATTTTTTTTGACATTTCAAACTGAAATTTCCAAGTTTTCTCCAGAAAATTTCTGAGATTAATCTCAAATTTTCTGATTTTTTTTCGGTGGAAATTTACTCCACTTATTTTTCTAATGCCCCCGTTGTACTACACTGTAAAACATTTTGTTCAACTAGTTTCTTTTTAATGTGGCACAGACATGACTTTGAATCTTATTGGTCATAAACTAATAAGACTGTTTCTATCAGGCGATGCGTTACATTGATAAATATTGATAAATTCTTATGTTGCCATTGGAGATCCGTATTCCTGTCTGTGTGATTCTGTGACATAAACAAGCACCTTCATGCTGTCTGAGAAGATGCTATCCACTCCGTCTGCCATCTCTGAGTATCTTTCTTCCAGGTTCCTGAACTCCTTGTTCTGCCGCTGGCCCTCCTGCTCCAGAGAGTCGATCCTCTCCCCGTTGATCCAGATGGAGAACGGAGACGTTCTGTTCAGCACATCCTCCAGCTGAACAGCCCAGAGGAGCGGGTCAGACATTTTAACCTACCAACCCAACTAGTTTCAGTCTCACAGTGTTTATCTGTTAAATGTCCAACCTGACGTCCAACCAGTCCGGATCCGCTGCTGCAGGTTCTGGAGTAATATTTGATGCAGGTCTTCTTCAGGCAGGGCTTGCACTCATCCCACAGAGCCTTCATGGTGTCGTTGCAAACCTCCTCCTCCTTCGCCAGCTTGGCTTCCATTTCCTCAGCTACACGGATCGCCTCCTGCAGTGAAGGCGACTTGTTATGGTTCCTAGAACAGGTTAGGGTAGATCTACAGCGCAAACTAAACGTGATTGTTACATGTTTTACACAAAATCATTCTTGGATAATGAGATTTTAGTCTGGTCAACTCAATGTTTACACTCGCATGTGAAAATGGCATTTGAAAAGCATTAGCAGAGCCTCCTGCACAAACAACAAGAATGATGATGGCAACCCAACAACTAAACACTTGTCTATTCCAGCAGCCATTGTATAGCGCATACAGCAGTAAAACCAGCTCACCAAACATGCTGGAACTAGAAGTCAGAGTATCAATAATATTAATACAAAGTCGGCATCTGTATCGTATCAATGCTGTAGCTTCAGATTCTCTCTTGATATTTTATTTTACTTTTGTTTTATATTTTTTGCACTTTGTTTATTTAGAGAACAATGTACTCAAAGTATTTTGTCTTCTAAACTATTTCTGTTAATAATATAAAAATCATATTAAAGTATTTTGTAGACACTTATAAACTTTATCGACATTCTGTCTTTTAAATAAAGGACAGAATTTATTTAATTAATTTTAATTATTTTTGTTTTAACAAAATAATTGAAAGGAAAATCACAAAAACGCCTTAAGACCAGAGGCCTGATGATTGGTATTGGTAGAACCAGTTTTATGTTTACCTGGTATTGGAGCAATACTACGATATGCAGTATCGCACAAATCTAGCTGGTGCTCTGCTTGGGTTGCTAGGTAACGAGGCTGGGTTCCACCGGGGTTGCTAGGTAACGGCGCAGGGCCTGTGGAATGTGACTTAACACTTGTGGGATTTTTGAAACGGCTCATTTTCTAAACAAAAATATTAATTTATGACCAAAAAATGGATGGGTGGATTTTTTTAAGCGCTTAAACTATTTTTAGAAGCAGCAGAAACCCAAATGGAAGTAAAAAAGAAAAACAATAAAATATGAATGGCTGATAAGATGTAGTGGGCGTAATACTCCTCACTGAAAAGATATTTTAAGGAGGTGTTTTTGTTATTTTTAAAAATTAAGTCAAAAAGTCTGCTTGATAGGAAAGAAACTCCCCAGAAATTTGTCTCTTTACCTCTTTCTGCAGCTTCGTTTTCTCCAGATCATCCAAAAACTTCTTGTGGTCCTCTGAGGATTTCTGCATCACGGTCTTCATCTCCTTCACGCCATCGATGGCGTTTTCAATCTGTTTATCCAGATACTTCTCACCCTGGAGGGAAATCTCTGTGAACAACAACCAACATGCGAAATGTGTTCAACCTCTGACCTCGTGTGGATTTTATTTAAACCTCGTCCTGCTCTGGGCACCTTCAGCGATTTGGCTAGGTTGCCATCTAGTGGGCAGAAATGTCAAATACAGACTGCTAAAACATTATCTTTACTAATTATTTTTGTCTGGTTTCTAGTGCAAATATGTTGGTTGAGTTGAAATAAGAAAAGGGCCGCACAAAATCACTCCGAGGGCCACAATTGGCCCCCGGGCCACACTTTGGACTCCCTCATCCTTGTTTACCATAATATAAAAGTAATAATTTACAGCTATTTATTAGGACCAATCATTGATGCCAAGGAAATCAACTTTTATGCAGGTATTCAACATACATTTCACTAATCCAATAAATATATAGTATAAATATAACTTTTAAATTAAATATAAGTATTTAAAAGTAAAATTAGTCCGTTTTATATATATATACGTATATATATATATATAAATTGGTAAATTAACATTAAAGTTAAATATGTAAACGTACTGTTCAGTTCCTCGGTGGACGGAGGCAGGATGCAGTTGGCGGAGGCCAGAAAAAGGGCCAACAAAGCCAGCGTCTCTTTGGACCCCTTCTTCTTCTTCATCATCATCATCATCATTAACATCCTCTCTGGCCCTCAGAGGGAGCAGGATTTCATGAGAAAGAGAGAGAACTGGAAACAAATGTTATTTTTAATGCAAAGTGTCCCTTACCGCATTGAAAACATGGTGTAGTTACTCTAAGTCTCCAGCAGAGGGCGACCTGACAGAGACCTACGCAGCAGAAAAACGAGCTTTCTAAGTCAGCAAAGTATAAAAATAACTGATGCTTGATTTTATCTCGAGTTTCTGAGATGATGTGACCAAACTGACCTCTAATCAGCCCTTCCTGTGACTCCGACCAGGCTTGAAAAAGCATTACATAAGGAGAACAGCAGGGCCTTTCTCTGTTTACCATCTTCTTCTCCCTCTGATGTGTGCTTGGTCAGCTGCCCATTTATTAACAATGACAGATTCAGCAGAACGAGGCTGTGTGTCTTTGCTTTTTCTCTCATATTCCTGCAGCTTTTTCAGTGCAGCTTCTTTTTGCATGCATGACTTTCTTCATTGCCTCCATCAGAACGAAAAACACACAGTAGAAATGCTCCTTTTTAAGACAACTGCACATTTTTAGAAACTCAGTTACTCAGTTCCAGCCTGGCACATGGTATTAACAAGGAAAATAAATAGTTTTATGATTATAATTAGCTGAAAAGCACGACTGGTTGTTTTGCAAAACAAAATTCAACACTTCATTATCCTGCCTAAAGGTTGTTATTCCTTTACTCCCTCTTGTGCAGAACCTGTTCAAGAATATTACCTACAAATAGTCTTATTGTGTTGTAAAAATGCAATACGACTATTTGTCTTACTGCATTTACAGGCTAGAAGAAAAATATGGATTTGAAAGTGAGGAAACATTAAGTTTTGTGGCTGCAGGGATTAGTTTCCATTGCTTGGATAGAGCGTTGTAGCAGGACATTCTGCCATGCCGCTGTCAAATTTACACACAGGAACCAGAGAGGAAAAAAATCTTTCATGCACAGGCAGCAGAACTTGGGAGACTAAAAATTTACACAAAAATGGGCTTACTATTTCTCTTTCTTAAATTTCGGCTTTGTCGAAAAACATGAGTTTTTCAAAATTGGAGTTTTTCCATTAAACAAATTTATTTTTATAATTCCAATTTGAGCTTATGGTCAATGCTAGACACACAGCTATTGATAAAACTGGACGAAATACTAAAATCTGTGAGGAAATATTGAAAGTTCCTAACTTCTCCCCTATTAAAAAGTTAGACGGTTGAAACTTGGACAGAGTTGGGAGCGCCAGCAGGTCAATTGTCCCAAAAATATGTAAAACAAAATTGACAACTAGCTAACAACTTAGAATAGAATATACTTTATTGATCCCCAAAGGGAAATTGCTTATTTGTTGAAAGCTACTCCATCTTGGGTAATAAATGCAAAGTTTGTAAAAATATATATATACCTAACTTCTGGCCTGATCTGCCTGAACTCAACCTTACTGAAAATTTAAGAACAGGCAATGAACAACACCAATTCTGCCAAGAAGAGTGGTCAAATAGCCAGCCAGAAGTTTCCAGGAAACCTCTATATTGATCCCTTACTGGTGACGTCACTCTCATCCGCCATGATGGAAGTCAAAACAACCAATGCGCTCCTGCAAAGCCCGTCAAAAAACGCACATCTGTAACCTAGTATCACTTTTATTTAGTTGATTTCGCAGTAAAAATGGTCACAGGGTGCTGCGTGGTGGGCTGCACAAACAGGACTCATGGAAAGCAAACTTGTCATTTTATTGTATAACTTTTAACGAGGAAAAAATGCGGCGGCGATGGATAGAAGCCGTCAATCATAATGACTGGCAGCCCTCGGTGTAACCGCGGACTTGTAGCGAACACTTTTTACAAGGTAAGAAAATTAACGTTGATATACTTTATAAGTAAGTATGATTAGAAATATATTAAATATTGCATTATGGCGAAGGTACCCGTCTAACCGTTGGTAACCATGGAGACAGTGTCCCACAGTCATGTAGCCTAGCATGTATGGAAAAAGCTGGTTAGCATCTCGTCTTCTGTACGTTTTTTATCCTGCTCCGGTTTAAGGGGAAACGCTGTTTATGACATAGTGACATAAATCATGGGGTGTGAATTCAGGGAGAGTCGGTAATTTGATCAACACGTCAGGGGGAGAAGATATGGGTCGGTTTCTAAGCTAGCTATGTCCAACTTTTGTAAATACCTCCGTCTGTGAGCCTGAGCTAGGTGTGTTACGTTCACAGACAAATTAGCCTGACTTGAACAAGCAGAAGCCATGAATAAAATGGCAAAAACAACTTTGGAAAACAACGTAAGTCGCTCTGTTTAATACTCCCGTCCCTCACTTCAGACGTCCATCGTGGCGCCTCAAATGATAAATTGTTGCAAAGGGTCAATACATTTAAATTAGCCCTCTTAATTGTCGTTTTAAAAATCTATTAAAAGAATAGTTCAAAGCTTCTCAGTAACATTGTTTTTGCTCAATTTATGTAACCAAGTGCTGTGTTACTATTTTTTTCCACAGTCGTTTTCTCGCCCACGACCGTCTCGGGTTTCTATGGTAATGAGAAAAGTACAAAATGTGCAGCATGTTGTTGTTGCATAGGGTGACATTTAAATCTCTTCATTTGATACAAAAAAAGATATTTTCAGTAACTTTTAGGCATAAACTCTTAACTACATATTTCAGTTGCTTTCTTATTGATATCTTTGAATTGTGATATATTTTAGTACAGATGACAGAACATCTGTACTAAACATCTGTTTATGTGATTTGTTTAATCTGCAGTTGGAAAGGCACTGGGAATGTTCAAATCTCCCAGTTTCTTTACCCCGTTTGTCCATTGTCAGGACTTCAAACCAGTTCATTATTCACAAAATCATAAACCTCTTGCAAGAAAGAAGAAGTCTAATCAAAGAAACTGCTGCTGAAACCCAGTAAATGTTTATGGGACAGAAGCAGCAAAATTACACATCAAGGTGAAAAATATTAAAATGCTGAAATAAAAGCTTAAAGCTTAAGCACCGTAACAATCACTAATATTTTTTTCCGACTTGCAGCTGCAGCCGTTCTGGTTGCACAATCAAAATACCGACACTCTTCCGCTCCAGATGTTGCCTCCAAGGTCTTCTAGAAAGTTCATCTTAACCTTTAAAACACCACCACGGCACTGAACAGGAACTTTAAATTCACAAGTTTCCCCAGGAAACAAGAAATACCTTTATTTTTCCTGATAAAATAGTTTGTTAGTTTTAGAGGAAACTTAGTCTAGTTGAACCATTTCTCTCATAAGTGTTAAAAAAAGGATGATAAAATAAGACTTTAATAATGTATATTGCTATCAAAGGTAAAATGTGACTTACTTAAATTTCAAACTTAAAGTTGCACTAGTAAACCTGATTTCATGTTTTAATACATGCTTTCCATGCAATGCTACTTAAATTGAAGGATTAGTTTTGCCATTATTACATTTTTATGTCATAATTCACTTTAAAATATAGTTGCATTATAAAATAAAAAAAGTCAAGAGTTTGTTTTGGTTTTTGCTTTTAATTTATATCTGGGTTCACGTTCTCATCCTGGTGATGCTTGTTTAAGAAATAAGAATCTAGTAATCCTGTAAGATCTGAGCTCCATTTTATTAAAAAAAAAAAAGGGACAGCAGCAGATGTGCCCTCATTTCCACCTTATTTTAATGCTTTGGGGATTTGTGCACCCTGAGGATGTACTTCTTATAGAGTAACCGAGAACAGGGTCACGTCTTTTCGAGAAAATATGACGACTGTTTGCACACAAGGCTGGGATACGTTGTAGCAAAAGAAAACTGATACCATCCTTTGTTATCTCACCGAATGCAACTTTGAAAAGAAAAATATCTAAAATGTTTGATGTTTATACTCTAAATGACCTTCTAAAGGCTACATTACAGGTAAATCAACAACAGGGTGACGTCATCTGCTCTAATCCCGTTGTTTTTATCCAGAGATGCAGGTCACACCCACAATTATATGTGCAGACATAAAGTCAGCATTTTTACACCAAACTACAGATTAAGCCTTAGGAAAACTGTTGCACAATTCTTTTCTGACTGAATGCAACAAAACAGCACCAAGTAGGATCTAATGTTTAAGAACAACAGACATCGTGCAGTGCAGTAGTTTGCTGCAGACTCATGGAAATGGCTGAAAGCCTCTCGGACTCACCTGTGTTGCTGGGACTGCCGCCTCTGAAGCTGCAGCAGCAACAGCGCTGCAGCCCGTATTTATATCCAACCCGGATAACGGGACGGTGCAGACATGTGATTCAGAGAGAAAGCACGCTGCTGCAGCATCCTCTGCGTCAAAAACCCTCAGGAGAGAGCACACTTCCTGCAGAACCCTTCAAAATAAAACTCCAGTGTTTTATAATTTGGGTCAACAGAAGGGAAATTTAGTAAATTTCTTTGTAAAATGTTTGACTTATAATTAATTTCTTTCTAAATATATGTTTCAAATTGTAACTATATATATGTAGGATTGTTGCCATGTTTATCCTAGAATTTTAAAAAACAAAATTAATCTCAGTTGGGGTTTTTTATCTACATTGGCCCTAAGATAATTTTGTAACAAACTGAGATTATAATGTGTAACAGTTGTTGGTGGAAACAGCCTAAATTAAACTCTGTTTTCTTTCTTATCACTGTGACTATACCTTTTAAACTCTGATGTACAAATAATACTAAGTTTAAATTGAAAATCAAAATATTAACCATATTGTCATTTTAATACATGATAAATATGAGCCAAGAAAAATTGAGGCAAAACAGCAAACATCTAACTTAAGTTGTTTCAATATATAATTTCCACAAAAATTTATATTTAATTTGCTGTTTTCATATTACAAACAATACAAGGTGATTCCTTCACATAAATAAAACACAAATGATAATTTTAATAAAGTAACTTTGAAAGAATAATATTTGACTGTAATACCAATAAAATCCATCCTAATAATTATTATGAGCTATTTTTCAAAATCAGGTATTTTCTGCCAATATGTTTGAATTCCTCTTTGATAAAACGCCCCATTCAGACTAAACGAACCTTTTATTTTGAAATGTAAGTTCCTTTTCCTGTACCTACGGCATCTATCTCCAGCGACTTGACAGATATGAAGCTTGAGGACGTTTCCAGAAGTTTTTTTAGATTTATTGGCAGGAGCTGATGCTGCTGAGCAGCGAGACAAAACATCTGATTCACTCTGACTCATCATTTAAAAAACGCTTTTTGTTTTCTTCTCACTCCACTTTAAACAGGCTGTTTCACAACAGTAGCAGTGAAACTCCGCAGTGTTTTACACAGTGAAAATATGCAATATTTATTCATATATTTGACATGCAGCACAAATAAAAAGAGCTTTGCTGGTAATTCACAAATATTATGCAGTTTTATAATGTTAGAATTTAATATAACAGGAATGTTTTTCTACTCAATATATATTAGAAAAAAATTACAATAAAGAAAATGCATCAAAGAAAGAAGAAATCTGTTAAAAATGGATACAGATCAATTATAACTTGAAAATTACATGTAGTAAAAACACATTTTGTTTTAAAACATATTTTTTATTAGTTTGATATAATATTAAAATCCTAAATGTCATGTTTTTGTTAATCATAAATCATCATAAATAACAGAAATTAAGTTTTTAAAACATCATCTTGTTTAATTTATCCACATATTGTATTACTAAAATAAATTAACTTTTCAATATTTTTCTAACTTATTGAATACAGGAGGCACTGGTAAACAAATATATTGATTATTTATCATATTTATTAATATATTTTACATTTTAATATGATTTTTGAAAAGTTCAAATGTTTTCCCAGGCAGATGTCATGCTATGATTTTCTGTTTTATGTAAGCAGGTAAACACACCCAAAAATAATTTAAATGTACAGAAGCATATTAGAAGAGAGGAAAACAGAAAAGAAAAAAATATATATTCACTCCAGTAACAAGAATAGTTTTTAAAAGCCAATTGGGGAGTAAACACAGTGCTCACAGGAAGTGACATAAATATGTTTAAATAGTTGCTCTATAACTGAGCAAAAATATTTAAACCTATTGTTAATTGTGACACATCTGTTCATAGACTCCTGGAAACAACGTGAACAGAAGGAGCTAATAACAATAATAATAATAACTGAAGTACTTTGACACCTATTTCCAAATGTCTCTGGAAGGTTTTTTAGGTTTAGGACAAAATAAATGGAAGCAATGATGTGTTAAAATACAAAACGGAGGCACATTCCTACCAGCTGATTAGTAGTTGTTGTAGCTGTCTCTTTAAGGAGGGGGAAAAAATCCTTTAATTCAGATAACCACCACATTCAGGCTGTGTCATCCCACAGGCTGGACTTTCCTGTAAATAACACACCAGTACCCGGTGAACACACACAGATAACAAAGCAACACATTGTTTCACAATGTGTCAGCTGCAGTCGTGTTTCTGCACAGCTAGGATCTGTGGTTCAGAAGCTCATTTCCACGGATCCATGATTGTATATTTAAGCTTTAATGCTGATTCTGCACAACATGTGTAACCTCTGTTCGTCTCAGATCCAGAAGGTTGACAGACACACTCACGTTCAGTGGATTTGTTCTAACAAATGAGGAACTCAAGTTGGTGGTTTCTGCCTTTGTTTCACAAACTGTCAGCTCCAGTCGTGTTTTGGGTCATTTAATACAATAAATAACCCAAAAACAAACTACAAACCAATAGCTCCCAATGAGCAGTTTGCCACAGTTAACTTTAGCAGCAGTTAACATGTGTAACTGAAAAATGCACAACATTAATAATAATAACTGGTAAAAAGGTAAACAAAAATTTTTTATCATGAAACACTGTATATGATTAAATTGGTCTAAAGTATAATACTTGTAAAGAAAACACAGCTGATCCTGATAGCACAGTTACAGAACAGCAAAAGAAAAAGGGGGCGGAGCTGTCGGTTACTGGTTGCTATGGTAACCACCAACCGTCAACCGTCAAGAGTGTTGTGATCTGTGTTTTTCTGTGTAGTTATTTTGAGATTTTCTGTGTTAAGTCCCGTTTCCCTGTGAGTCTCTGTCCTGTCGTCCCCGTTGATTGCTTCCAGGTGTGTCTCATTCCTTGATTACCCTCCCTGTGTATTTAAGTCCACCTGTTGTCTTTGTCTCTTGTCGGATCCTTGGTGTGTGCCAGTGTGTTTCCCTGCGTTCTTTGTGCTCCCCGTTGTTCTGTACCTCGACATTTAACGTTAAATTTATCATCGTCATCCTGGGTCCTCCCTGCGTTCTCCCTCACCACTCACCACTTCAAATCTTGACAGAGCAGCGTAACGGAACGTAAAACGCCAAGAAATGTTTGGAGAAACACCTTCTTGATGTAACAAAATACATTCAAAGAATAAATAGACAAAGTTTGACAAACTTCACATCAATAATAATGTTAAAATAAAACCCTGTTACACATATGTGCCTTTATTTTACCTATTGGGTCAGTGAAGTAGTTTTGAATTTGAATGTTATTCTGAGAGGCAGCATGTTTTTTTTTAACTTATTTATTTTTGGTTTCCCCATCTTTTTAAAGGCAAAATGTAAGAAAAATAGGAATAAAAGTTAAAATCCAATAAACTGTAGATAGTGGAATATTACGGAAGAAGATTGGGGCCAAAAAAGGAATGAAAGGCAGAATTCTGAAATAAAACTCAGATTTTGTGTGTGTGTGTGTGTGTGTTCCTAATCCTCCTCAGTGGAATACACCTGACTGAATTTATAATTTATAACTGAAAGTATAATAAATGTTTCACTTATAAGAAATGTTAAAAACTTGGATCATTTTCCTTCCACTTTATAATTATGCTGTACTCCATGTTGCCTGTCATGTAAAATACCTCAAAAATCCATTGAAGTTTGTGGTTGTAACTCGAAAATATGTGAAAAAGTTCAATATGTTCAAGTATATTTGAGAGGAAGTTTTCCTTATTTCACAAGAGCATTTATGGAGATATCCTTCCACACAAAAGATTGTTTCTTTCACATATTGTTACACAATAGAAAATAAGATTATGTAATGCTAAATGTTGGGAAACAAAAGTCATTTGCTCATGGACTAAAAGCACGGTGATTATAAGAAACAAAGTACTTCTTAACATTATTTTACAGACTTAAAGCATCATATTCATGTTTCTTGATGATCTAATTTTTAAAACTTAGTTTAATTGTAACTGTGTCCGAAAGCTGCAACAGTGGCTGTGTGTTTTTTCTAAGAACATGCTACATGAGTCAGTGTTGCTCATATTTTCCAACTGTGGAATGAGCCAAATGCACGTAGTTAACAGAAAGGCGGTTCAGGAAAATGTTTTTCAATGAGCTGCTTGTAAAATGAAATATCTGCGCAAAAAGAACCATTTCTTTGGCATTAACGCTGTTGTTTTGCCACAAATGCTCTGCTGAAGTGGATCATTATCTGTTTGTTATACTTGCTCCTTTTCAATGTTTTTGCAGAGGAATGAACAACTGAACAAACTTGTAGATTTGATCACGAATTCAGGGTAAAAAAAAAAAAATTCAATGTTTGGCAGCGCTATACACCACTTTACCACCAGGTGGCAGAAAATCCATTCTTGAAAATTCTCATTTTAACTTATTTAATGTTCATATTTCCTCTCACTGTCACTTGGAGTATATTCAGATAAATAATACATACTCAGATTGAGTTTTTATTCCTAATTTGATCTGTTGCTTTAATCTGTAATTTTAGTTAAAAATGGAAATGGAAGAAATTTATTTTCACACACACACACACACACACACACACACACACACACACACACAC